CCAAAGGCGATGGGGCTTGCCAACTTTTGGTTTTGTACAGACGTACCGTCGTCGCCTTATCGCAGACGCTCTTGAAGCAGAAGCACAAATGCCGATACGTTGGTCATCTGTCGTGTCACGAACGGCCGATGCAGGTTGAGGCTGGCAAGCACATCTGAGCAGCGCATCCTTAGCCGCTCTACGTTTCAGGCCTGATCATGCCTGATCCAATCAAAATTCCCGCAGCGAAGTTTTGGAGCATGCTGTGATTTGACTTTACCAAGGGGTTTGCCCGGGGTCTCGGTCCTGACGAAGGTGCCGAGGGAACGCCTCTTGACATCCTTTGGCAGCAGGGCCTGGCCTGTGAGCGGCCAGCTTCTCGGGGGCGGCTTGGAGTAATTAGTAGACCTTGGTGCCTTCCATGCTGCAATTTTTTGCCTCCTGCATGGCTGAATACACCCATGCTGCAATAATAACTAAAGTTCGGAGGGGATCCTGCTCCTGATTCTCACAGAGCTCCTGGCCGCTTCAATCTCCCCCAGCTCGATGCGGAAGCCACGGAACTTCACCTCACTGTCCAGGCACTTCCCCAACTTCGGCACGCCTGGAAAGGGCCTGCTCGTCTTTGCGGCCCAGGAATTCCAAGCCAGCTCCTCCAACTGCAAAAACATTGAATTCCTGAGGCCAAGGGTCTCTGGAAGCTGCTGGATACTGGCCTTGGTCCGGTAAAACCCGCACGAGGTCCCCCGTTCGATAGACCTCAGACCACCGAACCTGAAGACGATGATTCACAGGATCCCTTGCACGAAACTTGTGCGCTTCAAGGGGCTCTCCCGCCGCCGTCTTGCAAGAAACTTGCAGCAGTCAGTTGCTGCCGCTGGTGGTATCCCAGTGCCACACCGACCCCTGAGACCTCGCTGTGAGAACAAGGGCACGGCTGCACGGCGGTGGGACCACGGGCCACACCTGTTCGCAAAGACTTGCGGCCGCGCTGCGAGCAGCTCTCCGGTCACTTCGGAGGTATCGGCCTGCGCCGGGGAATTCGGTTCCGCCTGTCCGGGGGCCGCTGGAAAGAAGCACCTCCTCTTCCTCTTCCGAGATCGTCAAGGTGACGTTGGGAAGCGGCAGGCCAATGGGGATGGATGCGCAGCTTTCGCACTTTCCTCGGGCGCTCCATTTTTCCAGTTTTGCAGTTTGGGGTTCGCCGGTCCGCCAAGCAGCCAGGCAGCCAGGCTCTATCGGATAAGTCGTGGTCCAGATCGTGGCTTCCTTGCAGGGCGTGCTGTCATGACCGCAGAAGTGCAAGCATCCACGAACAGCATTGGATACTTCTGTCCGTCGGCCCATACGCATTCCAAACACCAGCGCCGGCAGCTCTGGACAGTGGGCTCACGAGGCTGTGTGGAAAAGCCTGGCTGCCACCAGAGGAGAGACCAGGGATAAGCGCGCAAGTCATAGGCACGCCTCTCCGCCACAGATCCCAGCCAGACCTGCAGCAAAACAAGGTGAGACAGTGTCCATGGCGGAAACTTGGCGGGATGCATAAGCCGATGCCTGCATGGCCCTGCCAGCCGGCAGCCACCAAAGATCGCCACAGGGCGGGCGTGCCTTGCAACACGTCTGCCTCCTGTCCAGTGCCCCTCTTTGCTGAGGTGAACTGCACTCTCTCCCAGTCCAGTACATGGTGTGCGTGCGTGTGTGTGTGTGTCACATCAGCGGTACCTGAAGCTGCTGGATCAGCTGAGAAAGTTTCATTCCATTCCGCGCTGTACTGGCCTTAGCGCTGCTTTGACTTCTCATGCAGGCATCAATGGGAGAACACTACCGTGCACGTTGCATCCAGGTCACGGAAACAACGAATACGGAAAACCCAAAACACAGTGGCCAAAATATCTCCAGCACGGAGATGTCGAAGCCTCTGCCCAGAAGGAGAACTCCAAACTAACGAGATAATGTGTCAGCAAAACTGGAACGAGGTTCGGGCAATATGTGGTTGGGGCCAACAGCATTCGCCCCACACACTTCGCTTCTGGCTTGCGGATCATAGCGTCAAATGCATGTAGCACGTTCCTTATTGCGGAGGGGTGCCGAAGCAGGGCTGAGCTGGATGATGCAACTTGCCCTGCACAACTCTGCGTAGCCGTGGCTCAGTACACCCCGGCGTGGCACCAGGACACCTAGAGGCACTGGGTGGGAAACTGCACGCAAAGGAAAGGGACATCCAAGTCTGCTACCCTTTGGGGTTCCGGTGCTCCCAGAGGTGTACCTTCAAGCTGAGCAGCTTCCCAATTCATTACGTTGAAAAGCCCTCTTTCAGCTTGGTTGCATCATGTAGGCCGGATTTTCGAGGTCGCCCCCAACATCTGCTTCAGCATCTTTGCTCTCAAAGGGGACCGGAGCATTCATCAATTGACCTTTGGCTTGTGGCTACGGTGATTGATAACAAGCAGCCATGGAGACACAAGCGGGTTGGACCATAGCGGGGAACGAACCAGAGAATGAAACAGGAAGCCTGTGCAGCCATAGCACCATCCATCGCTGTTATTCTGACCAACCGATCCTCCGGAAGGAGACCACGGCGACGAGCGCACCAACAAGTCACCAGGTAGCGCGCTTTAGAGTCATCCAAGAGGAAGCGCAGTCTAGCGCCGGGATGTGTGGGCTCGAGCGGCAGGTATGCGGCACCTGCGGCGAGGATGGCCAGTAGAGCCACAACCATGGCAGGCGTACCTTGGGAGCGAGGAAGAAATGGTAGTGCCGTTCATGACTAACCATAACTTGCGAATCCCTTAAAACATGCCAAAGTTCGTCGAGGGTGCGTTGCAGACACACTGCAACGATATCATTATCCAGGTCAGCCTCATGGGCCTTTCTGCGCAGGCGTCGCAGCTCTTGCTCCAAGGTCCAGGTTCGCGCTGTCAGCTCGTCATATGTCAGCATCGTCCGATGCCGACTCAGCTGGTCCTGCAATTCACTTATCACATCTTCTGACGGCCTCCGGACCAGGCACAAGCTGCCGAGTCCTCTATGTCCAAGCCCGCAGAGTCAGGCACTGCGTCTGCTTCACATTGCACGGCTACCGCGGTCTTGGCATGTGCTGCGGCTTCTGCGACCAACTCTGGCACATCCCGCCCATCGCAGCATCGCGTGGGTCCGGAGAGACTCCACGGCATTGATGGCAGAGGCGATTGGCATCTCTCAGGTTCCAAGTTCTAATGTCGTCTTTCAAAGAAGTCTGTAAACTACGTATTGAAAAGCTGCGCACCTGTGCCATTTTAGTTTCGAGGGAGGAGTTGTTGTATCCTGTGCTGAGGTCTCACTATCGTGGCTTGCGACTGCTCGGCAGCTGCGTCTTGGTGTTCCCATCTCATAACCGAAACCAGTCGGGCATGCCATCTTACCATGCTGAACTGGAACGAAAGACAACACAGCGCCACTCTGGCTCTACTGACCCTCTGCCTATCGGAGTGCTGCGGCCAAACACGAAGCGATCGTGAAAGGGCATGTGTGGCATGACGACGCCGATGTTGTCCAACTCATAGTTTTCCGAGCTTCCTTAAGACTGTCCTGAACCCGAGAACTTAACGAAAGATCTGGCCTGAAGCTAAAATCGTGTTGAACTTTTCAGACGTGCGCACATCGCGGGGCACTTTCACGAATGCCCTCACCCCTTCACATTCGTCGTGGTCGTGGCAGGTGTGAAGACGAGTTTCTGCTCTTCCGACGGGCTTGTCACCTGGGCCAAGGATCTGAAAGCTTCCTTTCTCTCTGTTCTCTCGTCAGTTCCCGAACACCACCGCCTTACAGCGAGCCGAGATGCTATAGTTTGCAGAGCAGACTGCTTGCTGCGCAGCTTGCTGAGAACTGCGGCCTCCGCCGGCGAAAGGGCAGCGACGAGTCCTGCCTGGTCCTTGATCTCGGACGCGTTCCAGGAGCCAGCAGCGTAGCCCACCCTTTGCATGTACGCCCTGCAGTTGTCGTCGTTCTCAATCTCAGTCAACTCATCGGTGGACAGGTCAGCAACCCACGATGGAGGCAGTAATTCGTCGGTTGCTCTCTGTCCATCCTGTCCGAGCACCCGAAATGCCTGCATGTCCTCGTTCACAAGCCGGGCAACCTCACCGCCGAACCTAGAGGTGTCCAGGGTCCATCTTTCATAAACACTAATCAGCAAGCGTCGACCAACAGCCAGGGAAAGCTCTGGCAACGTCAACGCTTGCAGCGCAAGCAGCTCACAGATCAGGGGAATAGAGTGAATGGCCCATCCGTTGAATGGCTTGGTCGACGCCCATACTCCCCGTGGGTCCCGCAGCAACACAATGAATCGGGAGGTGGCCAAATAGTCAGCCGGTACAGCCCTCACCAACGCGCCATGATCTACGATGCGGGTTGTCTTAACCACCAAGTATGGCACAGTGTCTGAGGCATTGTCCAGCTCTTCGCAATATCTCTGTAGATTCGAATAAGAATCGAGATTGACGACGTTGCCAGTGCAGTTGTGACAATCGTACAGGCACTGCAAAACCGAATCTGTCTGCCGCGCTGACATCGTAACAATCCCTTCGCCTTCAACGACTCCACCCAATGGCTCAAAGATCGTTGGATGAGAGCCATTTCCAGCAACCAAATCTAGAACAAAGCACGATGCCTCACGGCCCATTGAAAGCACATGCACCACGTCTATTGCCTCCTGTCGCCTCGCCACCTTCGCCCGCAGCTGAACAAGCATGTTGCTGCTACAGGCGGTTGTTTCGCAATCTGCTTCAAAGGTGGCGTGGATGAGCACATGCTGGACGAAGACAAGTGACAGCCACCGGGGCGCCATCGGTACAACTGAGAGTCCGCTACTGGTAAACAAGGAAAGTCGTGACCTCACACGGCTCGCGCCGCGGATCTGAAGCAGAAACGCGTGTCAGCAGCCTCGCGAAAATCCTGGCCTACCTCTCATGCTGCATCCCAACACCAGCTGACCCAGCTACAAGGGCTTGCAAAAAACAGGGCATCCTTGCTGAGGCCCACTCCAACAAGCGGGATTTCCACCTGTCGAAAGACAGTCACGGAACGGAGGACTCCCCCAATCTACGTATGAAGGGGCAAAGACGGGAAACCGATGTGCCGACCAACTTGATGATCAAGCACGACTTACCGGACAGATCTCCTTGGATTCATGCAAGACTTACGTGTTTTGTAATTTTCGGACGAGGGATTTAAGAAAACCACGTGAAAGCAAATCATTGGCAGACAGGCGGAAGACACTCGTAGGAGTTGTATAAACGAGCACAGACAAAGCAGGTGGATGCTGTAGCCATCTCTACTCGCGCTGAAACATTTTGAGGTAGGAACTCCGGACGAGCCTTCGACCACAGGGGCTCGTTCTGCGATCGCCTTAGACAATCTCTTCTCCTGAAAACACAAACTTGTTGTCGCACAGTCCTCCGAGCCCGAAGGCGCCCACATCAAGAGCTTTCGGGCCAGTGGGCGTTTGAACCTGCCGAAAGCCGAGGACCCCCTTGTGCAAATGGCAGCGGCAGCGCCTCGCTGTAGAGGAGTCGCACAGAATAGGTCCTGCCCAACATGCAAAGGTTGCACAGCAGCTGGAAATTGCTCGAATCACACATGCAGGACATCGACGAGCACTAATGGGCTTGGCTCCTTCTTTCCAATCCCGTCCAGTCTATGTGCAGATCCTGCGCCCGCATGCTCTCTTGCGATGGCAGGGGGCGGACGGTCACAGGAGTGCCTTTCGAGTGGCAGATGTCAGCGGATCCAACCCGGGTCTCTTCACCTTGCACTTCGCATCGGGACGGAGATTGGACCAACGATCCGCTTAAGCTAAGCTGCAAAGAGCTCCACAGCATCCGGCAGGCCTTCCGAACTCCGGACCCAAGCCACCTCTCGCAGCTCTCACGCACCAGGAGGCACATGCCAAATATGCCTACAAGATGAGCTTGCCTGCTCTCTCCCCGGCTTGCAATGCAGCACTTTTTCTTTGCCAGCTTGCTCAACTGAGACAGCATGTAATCGGCCGCTAGCCTCTCACACGGTCTTGTTCCGCAAACTCGAAGCACCGCAGGATGAGCACTATCATCGCAGCATGAGGACCTTTTCCAGTTCAGCCTCGAGTTCCTGAGAAATAGAATTGAAGGACAGCTTCAGTTCCTTTAGTTTCTTGTTCTGTTGTACTGCCTCCAAGAGGGCCTTTCCACCCGTGTCATCAATGCAATTGCTCATCAGCTCCACGACGATCACGTCAGACCGGCACAAAGACTCAGCCAGAGCTTTCGCGCCCTCCGAGCTGATGCCACAGCTATTCAAGGACAACCGCGCGATCGGCTTTCGTTTCTCAAGTAACGTCGCTACATGAGCAGCTCCAGCGTCCCCAATCGGTGACATTGAAACATTCAGATGCGTCACGGTCGTGTTCTTTTCCAGACACGTGCAGACGTATTCTATTTCTTGGGGGCCGAAAGCCACTCCTTCTGATTCTGCTCCATCCAGCAAGCCCGGAGACGGAAGCATTAGGGTGTCTAAAGACTCATCATCCTCGGCAATGAGTGGCAGTATGTCCTCGATGGGACCCATGGGAACTTTGGGCGGCCATTGCCTAGGTGCCACTTTGGGCTTTGCCAGGCTCTTCACGATCTTCCCCGCCTTGGGCGCCATGGCACTCTCTTCGATTCGCAGAAGTGCGCTCACCTCAAGTGCTTCTTCGCTTTTGTACACTCTGCTCGTCAGACTACCCCTCGCGGCTATTCCTGGCTGAGACCTATGGCTTTCTACTTGGCATCCTTCGCCTGCTGAGCTGAGTCCAGAGGAACAGAGCAAGCCAAGCCAATGCGGAGTCACATCTACAAGACAACGCGATGCCTGCGCAAGGCCCGAGTCGTCGTATGGCAACGGTTCCGAACCTTGACATGCGCTCAATGCGATGTTCAAGGTGCCGACCCTGCCGCATGGGTAACCATCGGGCCTCCGCGGCAAGACCACCCCAGGCAGTCTGCGTAGCCCAACCTTTCAGCGAACATAATCCGAGCGACGGGAATCACGGAGTTCGCAGATGCACACGGGCACAACATGGCAGATTCAGAAACTGCCGTTTCGACCGCGCGAAATGGTTTAGCGGTTTAGCGGCTTCGCCTGTGCTCGAGTTCATCCAAAGCTGTGACGACTCCACCGTTCCACGTCCGCCCGGAAGCGTTCATCGTTAGCCACAGGACGTTAGTCGTTTCACCCGAGCTGCAGGAGTCGAGCTCCGTCACCCCACGACAGCCCGACAGCCCCGTGTCCGTGAGGGCGGGTACACAGCGACGCTCCGGATTTGAGCCTGCACGCAGCTCTCCAGCCTGGGGCTCCCTTGAAAGCAGCACCACACAGACCGCAAGGAGATGCAAGAAGGAAATGCACAGTAGACCTTGATCTGCCGGTGACCTTCAGGACAGGACCATCTCTGTGCCGCTGCACGAGAAGAGTGTCAGGCGACAGCCCAAGCTCAACCTGCTTGCAGTTCCTGCCGATCTACCTCACCATGCTCTCTGTTCCAGATGTTGCCCTGCCAACTTGCAGTCTCCTGAAGCTCCACTGCCGTTCTGGTGGCATCCATCTCCGAGTCCAGTCTGCGAGTTTCTGATGCTTCAGTTGGTGTGGAGGGTACACCTTGCTTCAAGGTCAAGCAAAGCCAAATACTGCTAGACAGCAAGACCAAAAGCAATGCGGTGTTGACAATGATGATGGTATGTCCCAGGCTATGTCGCGCTCGCCAGATCGCCATCACTGTCGCAAAGTTCGCCCAAGGCACCAAGGCGCGATAGCCAGAAGGAGAAAAGACCGATCCATGAAGCGGAGCGGGCTGACACCAGACATACGTGGGCTTCTCAAGCCGCAGGTTGCTCAAGATCTGTACCGGGCCAGACGAATCTTCGGCGCTTAGCAAGCTTGTGCCAACAATATGCTCCAAGTTTGGCCACGCTGCGATAACCTTGCGACCGCTCAGTTGGAGCTCGCTGCCTGCAGCCAGGCACCGCCACTTGTTGGCGGTCTCCACATGCCTCTCAGGGAGCAGTGCCGCTTGAGCGGCCCAGATTACCCCTCTGCCTGGCCATCTCGTTCCCCATGAATGCGTAGATCAGCACCGGGATGCTCAAGATTGTGAAATCCTGCACGCTCGGTCCGAATGCAGGGCAGCAGGGAGTCCCAGCTGCAAATTGCACATCATATTAGCGGGCGAAACTCACAGAAGCACACGGGGCTCATACCTGGAAACGCCGCAGGCGCCAGGACACGGGAATACGGCTCGCGGCCGAGCACAGTATGTCTAGCGGGCGTTGAGAATGACACTAGATGAGACACGTGACCGGAAACAGACATTACGGATCCTCGGCTGAGTCCAGGTGCTGCTTGGCCAAGTCGGGGAAGGAAAGATACATAGCATTCACTGCCTTTGCGCAAGTTAGAGGTGGATTGTTCCAGCATGTGCCTTCCATGGTACCCAGCCCCAGGACTGAGAGTTGCGGCCAAACGACAAAAAAAAACTGCGGAAGGATAGTTGCACAGGCCACTGCCCTGGACGAGATCATGGGCAAGTCGAATATGCCCCTCGCGCGCAGCTTAGACGCTGAGAGCAAGGTCATGACGATAATTGAAATCGCACAATTGCCAAGCACCTTCAGTCCTTAGAACATGCTGGAATCTCGTATTTGGAGGATACTGATATTTGAAAGAAGCTGTTGGTGACTGCTTCCGGTGCACACACACACACACACACACTGGTCTTCGACTCAGTGCTGGAGACTCACTTGGCGATTAAAGAGCTGGAGTCAGCCAGAGATCCTAGAGGTCATGCATGATCATCCGACAGTTCGACAACTCGGCGCCACTCACGCACGACTAGGGCCGTTGGGAACTTCGTTGTGCAACATGCTGTGCAATAGGGTGAATCACGGTACCGACTTGTACCGTGTCTCGTTCCGTCCCTCTGTCTCTTCGAGCGTTTCCGCGGCTGCTCACGGCCCAACTCCTTTCTTTCCTGTGCCAGTCTCCTCTGAGTTCTCTCAAACTGGTAACTTTCTGGCGCGTCCTTTGTGGTGCCGAGGTGCTTCCAGTCCAGTCGGGGATCCCGGCGACCCGATGACTGCCTTGGCCGCTTCTGGCCATTGGCTTTACAAGTTTGCACGCTGTCTCCCTTTTGCATCCAGGTCTCTTGCATTTCCTGCCCCTTCCCTGTGATTAATTACTTGTCATGCCATGGTGCAGAAGCAGCCGTCGTAGCTGGGAGGTAAGTCATAGGTACAGCTGCCGTCGAGACGAGATGTGCACCAGGATGGGCACGAAGCAGGTTCGGCGCAAATCCAAACAGGTATCACCTTTCAGGGTGGCAGGTCAGGCAAATCAGCTGGTGCCTCACACTGCGTCCCAGAAGCATACTCTGCAAGAAGCATATTCATCAAGACGTGACACCAGGCAGCCGGCGAGTTGGGCAGGTCGGCAGGCAGGTACGTGGTTGAGCCAGCCGGTCGGTCGGTTGGGCAGGTCGGTAGGAGCGGAGGTGGAGAGGTCGGTAAGTAGGTGAAGGAGGTAGGCTGGAGGTAGGGAGGTGTTCAGGCAAGGAGGTGGGGAGGCAGGCAGCAAGAAAGGCAGGGGGTGCTCGGTCGGTCGTAGCCCGGTGGGTCGGTGGGTCGGTGGGTCGGTAGGCCGCAGGCCGGTAGGAATCCTCTGCTCTGTTTCCAACACCCCACAGATAAGGGTAGCTCCGAAAGAGACCCCTCAAGCCAGGAGGTGTCCATCTGAGTCGTGACGACCACGGGCAGTTGAAGAACCTTGGACTTGTAACATCAGAATGATTCGAGCTCACCTCAGACAATTCGCAAACCGCTCCCCAAACAACCGCCATAACAAGCAATGGTGGGACGCAGGCTGTTTTAACACATTGGTCGTCAGGTCGCACCTCCTGCTAGACAACAGTTTTACCGTCGAAAACTCAGGAGGGCAAGATCACACCCGGTGTGGGCGGATGGGAAATAAATTCGGTGTGATCTTGACCCAAAATGGCCACGATCAAGCACCTTGTTCAAGAATTCCCTCCGACCACGCTAGCGAATTGTCACTACAACAAGCGCGCTAGTGTTTGTCACGACAATTCGCAAACCGCCCCCCAAACAACCGCCATAACAAGCAATGGTGGGACGCAGGCTGTTTTAACACATTGGTCGTCAGGTCGCACCTCCTGCTAGACAACAGTTTTACCGTCGAAAACTCAGGAGGGCAAGATCACACCCACATGACCTGATGTAACCGAAACAGACAAATAGTTCATCCCACCTGCTGTTAGCGTGTTAGGTTTGCGTCGGGTATTTACATCTCGACTGAAGTCGAGAAAAGAGAAGGGCCTGAAGCCAGAGGCCAATGGCAAGCGGGTCTCGTGAGAATCCCAAAGTGACCGGGAACAAGTTAACCCGAAATTCCGCAAGTACAAGGCTAAGCAACGGGTGCTGGCATTGGTGAAGGCCGCCCGGAGGGCAGGGCCCGTCGAAGTTTCCTGTGCTACTGGGCTTTGTTCGAGGGGAGAAGCCACGGAGGAGAACAGGAGGGAGGCAGAGCGGCAGCAGACAGCAGACAGGAACGCGCGCAAAGGCACTTTTTCACACGACCTTCCAAAACGCCTCGGTGAGGTCCACCGGTCTGGCCGGCACGTGCTCCAGTTCCGGAGGGAAGTGCTTCGGCTCGGGAGAAAACAGGCGTGACAAAGCATCGGCCTGGATGTTGCTGATGCCCGGGATGTGAGCGAGGCCCCGGACCTGGTACGACCGAAGGGCGACATCCAGCGAAAATTCTCGGGCCAGCACGTTCAAAGATGCCGACTTTGCGCTTCCTCGCGCTAGGGCTCGCAAGAAGCCGAGGTTATCCGATTTCGCCCTGTACACGGCTCCAAAAGAGAGGTTCGGGAGCCAAACGCGGAACGCCACCAAAAGGGCGACTCCTTCCCAGAGGGTGTTGAATTTCGAAACACCCCTCTCTGCCGAAAACTTCTTGAGGAGCTCGTCCGGGAGGTTGGAGTAGAAAACTTCAGTGGGTTTGCCGCCCACCCTCATGATGCCACCAATGCCCCATGGGCTGGCATCTGTGACGATCTCGACGTCGGTGTGGGCGGGCCTTGCGAAGAAAATCCGTTGCAGGACGTTGTCCACCAACAGCGCTCGTATCCACTTGAGGCCAGGGGCCACCCTCTTAGTGTGGATCAGGTTTCTGGCTTTCCGGGCGGGGCGGCCATCATTAGCCAAACCACACGTAGAGAGTGCCGACCAGAAGGTGGACAAGAAGGGCCGAAGGTGAGGCACTAGGCCCGCAACGAATGACATGCTGCCGGCGTACGACCGCAGCTCCCTGGCGCCTATGACCGGGCGGCTCAGCAACTTGTTGGTGTCGTCGAGGAGCTGCTTGACCTTGTGCTCGGGGATGGTCACCGTGACCGTCTCTGCCTCGTCGTCGCATTCGATCTTCGCCCCGACCCATTCAATGGCCTTCCCGCCGTTGGCTTTGTTGAGCTTCGTCGGGAAGCCGGTGACGGCCACCCAAAGGAGGGTAATGGCCAGGTCACGCGCGGCTGCGCCAAGGCCGGGCCCGAACATGACAAAGACCGGGTCGTCGACATAGCACTGAGGGTCGGTGTCAGCGACCGCGGCCGTCGAGCGGCCTAACCAGGCGGCGAATCTACCCCAGACTGTGGGTGAGGACGCCGACCCAAACACAAGCGTGTTGAACAGCACGATGCCCCATGGGACTGCCGCCGCGGTGAACTTGCGGTCCGGGCCCGCCGGCACATTCATGAAAGCATCCTTGATGTCGAGGCCCGCCAGGTAGGGCCTTCCTCCTTCTCGGTAAACTCGAAGGAGAGAGGCGACAACGTCCAGGAGCCGGGGCAGGAGGATCCGCTCGCCTTGGCAGCACGCCAGGTTAACTCGGGACTCCCTCAGGTCCCAGATGACCCGTGCCTTTCGTACCGGCCGGCCCTGCGCGTCGGTCTTGTCCTTCACGATCACGCCCAGGCGGTTCAGAACGGGCGGTCCTCCTAGGATCGCCTCGGCCTCCTCCTCAGTGGCGACCAAGACACAGAAGCCCCGGTTGACATAGTCGTCGAGGAGGTCGTGAAGAGTGTCCTCTTCTGCCTCGGCCGAGGGATAGCTCTTCCAGCCTTCCAAGGCTCGCCTGTCAAGCTGCGAGGCCGGCATTGACCATCCCGGGACACCGGGGGGAAGACGTCCGTGGTCGGCACCTCCTGCTCGATACCGAGAGGGGCGCCATGATCCAACCAGTGCGCCAGGAGCTTGGCATCCGGATCATCGGTGGCATCACCCCAGGCCTCGAGCACGGATGCCTGAATGGGTGTGGCCGCCGGTGCCGTCCTCTTCCTCTTGCGTGTCCCCTCGGTTGCGCCGAGCGCCGTAAGGACTGCAGATCGGACCGAGCTGACGGCTTCCGGGCTGAGGTCTGCCGGCTCTTCTCCACGAAGTATTGCCACAGCAGGGTCCAGGAGCTCGGGCCACAGATCCACGGCTCGAGACAGTAGCCGACGGATGGCATTCCCAACGGCGGCCGACTTGGGAAGGCGAGTCAGTGCACGCCTGGGGTTGCGCAGGCCACAAGCGCCCGCTCGTTCTCAGCCTCCCTCTCGGTCTGCGGGCCCCGAGAGGGAAGGGCCTCGAACTCAGCACCTCAAAGCTCCTCTTTGTCCAAGGCCGCCCTGCGATAACCTTGGTAAAGAGCCTCCGCAATGATCTGTGAGAGGTGGGCCGAGTACTCAGCTGGCCCGCCGCGTCAGAGACCTGTCTTCCTGCCACCGACTGGTGGGTGCCGCGTGGGTGGTTGCACCGCTGCCCGTGTAGCTTGGCGAAGTCCACGTGGGCGGAGAACAGGAACCGAGTTGGCTTCACCGTCTCCAAGCCGAAGCGGCACTGGTCGAAGTCTGCTGTGCCGACGCGGTGCAGGTCGAGGATGGACCGGAAGGAGGGCATAGCCCATAGGCTGGGTTTTCCAGCGGGGTGGTCGGGATTTTCCACCCCCCAAGTGGGCTTGAGGTCCCACATCGCCACGACCGAGTCCGAGCCGCTCGCTGAGCAGATTGGCGGTCCTGAGCTGCTCCTTCTCCTTCTGGCCAAGGTTGGGCAAACCCTCGATGTGCTGTTCGCTCCGCAGCACCGGGGGGGCCGGGACGGACCTCGCGAAGAGGCGAGAAGGTGCCGCACGGAGGAGCCGCCCAGAACACTGCGTACCTTCCGTGGACCAGGTCGCGAATAATTGCCGTGTGGACCGCCTCGTCGAGGAGGTCAGTCGGGTCTGTGGCTCGCTTGTCCAGGGCGCAAACCAGAAACCCATAGTCTGCCAGCCAGCTGGGGAGGTCCCCTCGCAGAAGCCTTCCAGAAAACATGACCAGTGCCCAGGGCCTGCCGTTGTACTCGCCGGTGCCGTTGCGGCGCCATTCGGCGTACGAGGCTTCGCCGGGCTTCTCCAACCAGGTGCCGTAGTCGCGAGGGCCCTTGTCCATGGGCCGTAAAGGGGCACCTTGCGGCTCGATGGCGGGATGAGGTGCGCCACCTGGCTGCCAGAGCCCTTGCTGCTCGCCGCCTGGTCTGCCTTCGCGCCGGAGTCCGCGGCAGAGTGCCAGCCCGGGCTTTGGGCGGTGTCCTTGGCCGTTGCCGCCCCAGGTCCCGCGGCGGGTCGTCCGGCTTCTTCCGCTTCAGGGGAGGAGGCGAGAGGGCCGCCTTTGAAGCCGCTGTCCTCCGAATGAGCTCCGCGGTGTCATCGAGCCGGGCTGCGGCACCAGATCTGACCTTGGGCGTCGGGGCGAGGTAGTCCTTGGGCCCATGGCCTTTCCAGCAGTGGAGGTGGCAGCTTGAGGTGCCCCCGCTGAACCCCCGGTTGCCCGAGAGGGTTCTGACGGAGTGGGACCCCCGCCGCCGGCCTCTTCTCAGCGTTTGGGGCACTCGAGTGCCTACTGAGGCCCCAAGCAAATATTGCATTGATGTGAGCAGCGATTCTTGCATTTGCTTTGGGGCTTCTTCGACCCACAGCGGTTCTGGTTGTAGTCGCCGCAGATGGTGACCCCGCGCCTGTTCTTAACGAACACGTTGCCCTCCTTCTCGCTGTGGTCGTCGCCGGTGTACTTGCGCTTGGCCTTGCCGGGTCGAGGGTTCGGCTCTTCTTCCTGGCTCGGTGGCGGGACTGCCGGACGCGGTGGGCCCGAGGTTCCCGAAAGCCAGAGCGTGGCCGGAGTGACCAGCTCCCTGGTCCAGAACTCCATGTCCTTCACCGCCGCCGCGAACGCCGCGTTCCAAGGCCGGGCTGGCGTGTAGCCGAAGTCTGGTTGATCATGGAGTCGGCGACGCAGGCGCTCCAAGTGCTCGCACCTGAGGCGATTTTCCGCCTTGTAGATCAACCACCAGGCGGAGTCCCCAAACTGCGTGAGGAAGCTCCGCACATGCTCGGCGTAGCTGTCGAGGCGCTCGGAGTCCACGACCTCAAGCAGGAGCATGGCCGTTCGGTAGACCTTCCAGGCCTCGTACCAAGCGTGAAAGGAGCCTGGGCCAGGTTGCTCCTTCTTTGTCCATTCACCAGTGGACACGTTGAGGACGTAGGCCGTGAAGGACTGTTTGCGAAGGAGCCGTAGGCCATGGGGTCCGAACAAGGAGAAGTCGGTGTAAGGGGCCGCCCCTGCCTGCAAAACCTGTTTGAGGGCCGAGAGCTGGTCCAGCGAGGGGTCACTCTCATGTGAAGGGAAGTCCCCGTACTTCTTCTTGTACTCGGTGTAGAGCGTCTGTGTCTCCGTCTGCTCCAGCACCACCACATCGGCATCCAGTGTCGGGTCCAGGATGGCGGACAACTTGAGCTGCCGGGGCTGTCGGGCGTGACGCCCATCCTCAAGCAGCTCACCCGTCTAACTGACTCGAGCCGCGCCAGCTCCACAAGCGTCGGGTCACGGGCCGGCTGCGGTGCTCCATCTGCGTTCAGCGGTATGACCTTCAGGGCTGCGATGGCGGTGTCCCACGATGGCCGGGGAATGAGGACAATCTCCCGGACACGTTGTGGTTGGCCCAGTGCCAGCTTAAGAGCGGTCTCCAAGGGACCAGCCACGCCGGCCCAGTTAAGCACGCCGGCGAGGTCCGCTATCGCGGTGAGCTCCGCCTCCGTCGGGTCCATTGTTGCCAGAGGAGCTCGCTAAGGCCGGACCTTCGTAAAGGAGTCCTGCGGCCCGTGGCGTGCTAGCTCTCCGGGCTCTGCGGGCAGCGTTCGGTCGAGAACCCGCAGTGTTGCGGAGGTCCACCTCCCTATAGTGCCCGAAAGCCAAGGAAACCCGACGCCTTCGACCCAAGAAGAAAAGTGCCCGGCGGGTGACAGCGGCCCAGCGGTCCAACGGTCCTCGTAGAGGCCGGGTCTGCCTGCGCGGCGTGGTAGAGGCCGTGATGCAGCAGCCGCAGGTAAGGCCCAACAGCCAGAAGACGGCCGCGAAGGCGACGAGGGCGCACTCCCCGACGGTCGCCTCGGACCAGACAACCAACGGCCCACCCAGGAGGGTAGGGGCCAAGGAAGTCGAGTCAGCAACGACCACCAGGTCCATGCACCACCCACCCTGTTGCAGACCACACCTAAATAAATTCGGTGTGATCTTGACCCAAAATGGCCACGATCAAGCACCTTGTTCAAGAATTCCCTCCGACCACGCTAGTGAATTGTCACTACAACAAGCGCGCTAGTGTTTGTCACGACAAGGTTGCAAAGCTGGCGGGTTCCGGCGAGGTGCACGCAGCTTCATGAAGACCAGCAGACACTTGGAAAGTGTGCTCAGGCGTAGGTTTCGGTCGCCCAGCTCGGGAAGCTTCATTCGACAACGGTCCAGGAGGAGCGCAAGGCAATTAATCATCGCGGTGCCCTGCACGACGCGTTGCATGCAGTGAAGCACTGCAAAAGCGACTGCTCTAAGGCTTCATTCGAAAGCCAAGACACGGCTCCGATAAACAGGATGAGGGCAAAGTACGGACGCTGCGAAGTCGACTTTGATTCTCGCAACCGGCCATAGAAAGTGTAAGTGTCCTAAGCCGACGTACCATGCGCAAGGACATGATTCTGTATGGATACCTGACCCGCCCCGTTCCTGGAGATGGGCCGATACGAACCCGAAAAGAAGCGGTTGCAGCCACCTACCCGCGAAAGCTACAAGAAGCGGAACCTGCAGTCGTCACGACATACAAATTTGCAAAGGGACAGGCTTAGCTGATCGCCGTATGGATGGGTTGCAACACCTCGAGCCTTCTGGGCTCAAGCTTTGAAGCTTCGGCCTTTCACGATTCTGGGAGCTTGAAAGTAATGTTGTTTCAGAACAGGGCGGGATGTTCAGAGGCAGTCCTCAGCGCTGAGAGTGGCGAGCATGGAGCGGCAAAGCCCACTCTGACAGCCCCTACAAACAAGCTCTCGCAGACATGGAGATGCAGCTGAGACAAGGCTCAGGCCTCACAGCCTTCATAAAAAAAGAGCATCAAATCGGCACATAAGTGTCTCCACCCTATAGAGTCTAGGGCCTAGAATAAGAATCACCTCCAAAGCTGACGGAGCCGCGAACTCACGCTAACTTCCGGTAAGAGCCTATGTCAGTTTAAACCGGAGCAACAGTTCCCTGAATCAGCCCCTGTCGCCAAGCTGCGTAAAGCGAACTGCAGCACAGCAACCAGTGTTTGTGCATCCAGGTCTTCACTGATGCAGACAGTCGAAGGAGCAGCTGCCGACAGCAGCAGCTGGCAGGGATCCGAGACGGAGGGACACGCTCATCGCTTGCCCAGGCAGTCGCATGCCTTGCGACTTGCGACCGACTATTCGGCTCCAACTCGTGCGCGGCAAAGCGAAGGATCTCAGCCCGTGGCGAAACGATCGCTTCCGTCTGGTCGCAGGCACGCGCAGCGAGAGCCACCCCGGCCTCAGAATTGGAGGACTTTCCAGGCACGGAAACCATGCACTACTCACATGATTCGGCTTCTGAGACCATATGCAACCGAGGCTTCAAAGGATACAGAACAAGCGAAAACCAAGAGATACAAGGGCAGAGATCCGGCAGACGCATCGGAGAGCCCGAATATGGTCCTCAGCTGCCCCAAACTCGCTTTGCACCTGCAGAATACGCCAAGCTGGAAACATGAAGTTCCAGTTGCTCCAGCTGTTTGTCAGGGAACATGACCTGATGCCCCTCATGCTGCGCCAGAGTCAACGTGGCCACGCCAGCAGCTGCCCTTGGCAATGAGAGCAGCATTGTAAACAGTGCTACCAAGCTTCCGGCCAAATTTGTGCATAACAAAACCTGCGAAAATCCGCTTCTGTTATCTGATGTCTAACCATCCGTCCATGCATACAGTGTGCAACAAGGCCACAACAACAAAAAAGTTGGCACTGGACCTCCAAACCGACCTTCAATCCGACGGCTTCCTCTCTCTGCATTGCGTGCGTGCTCACGCGTGCACAGCTCACAGACGTCCTCGCTAAGAAGATGAGAAGTGAGAAGGCCGAGGTATTCTGGAGCACCCAACGGAAGCTTGTGTTTACCCTTTCTCGGACCAAAGGATTTTGGAGAAGCTATTTAGTATCAGCATGGCATGGCCCTACGGGTTGTGCACCTGAAAAACTCGCTGCGTGTGATCGGTGATTTCAGGCACGCCAGTTGTTTTCAGGCACATGGGCTGCGCCACGGGAGAAGCCCAGCCTTGCTCGGCAGCATAGGAGCACAGTGACTGGGCTGTCATATATGTCTGGATGGACGTGTGCGACGAATGCGGCGGATGTTCGCCGTACAAACCGTCCAGCGACGAAAGAAGATCCGGACACAGGGGCATCACTGCGGGCCATGGTGTCTCCGGCAATATGGACCGGCGCAATCGTTGATTGCTGGCTTTCGCACCTTTTGTGGCAAACCTCGACCAGGGAGGTCAACTCGGAAGGCCAGGTGTGCTCTCCAAGCCAAAATTGGTGGGAATGCGCACTGTCCCCACACACATCATGAAAAACAAATGGCAATCTCCGCTGCAGTGTGATGCCCCAGTCTTGGCAAGCCATCACCACGTCGACCAAACGGCTCGTTGCCTTCATAGCCAGTTAGCCAACTATGCGACACTCCCAGTTGCCCTCCTGTTCTTCTCCCTTTGCTCTGCCGAAGCGGGGCCCGCTTTGCAGTTGCACTCGCACCCAGCATGCCCTCCTCGGTGGAAAAAAGAAGTGGTATTCGCAGTCCACGCTGCCAGGAGAAGGCCCCGAACCTTGCCACTGGGCTGGCGCACGCGATCAGTACAGCTCAATCATCATGAACATGCCTAAGATGCCTTTCATGTTTTCCGCCACTTTCCTGGGTGCAGACAAGGGATCCCTCAGCGAGGTTGCTGAAATTACAATCGCCGGCAAATACCCAACAGAACAGCCAACCCGCAGCCGCAAACCCGCCCAAAAATCGTCTGCCCCCAACGCGAGCAGTAAAGGATTTTGATCCCGCCGAAGTCCACAACATGCTGTTTCCACTGCTTAAACTCCGCCAGGATCATACCCCAAGGCAGCTTCCTTTCCCGTTGCTTCGCCTTGTCCCTCTTCGGGCATGTGCGGGCCGCCACGTGCTCCGACTGCGCCGGCATCATCCACAAAAGCGGTCACATTGCACGGTGATGAGCGCCCCAGGCGTGCTCGATGTCCGAGAAAGGGGGCTTTCGTCACCACACTGAGGTACAAGAACTCCTCCACTTGATGGGCACGCAGACCAAGAACGCCGGCTTCGACCGAAAGGCTTTCGACTCGCGTGGTGGCTCCGCGCAGGGTGTCCGACACCTATCAACCAGCCGGTAATTAACCTCCACTATACCTTCCACCGTGACAATGCACCTCCACCGCGTGCGTGGAGGCCAGTGCGCGTACAAGGTTCGGGCTACAGCACACCTTCCACTGCACAACGCCCCCGGTGGTTTCCCTGCACTTTGCGTAGTTGGCGTTTGTCTGGCAACGGGCTCTGCATCAGTGTCGCTATGGAGGTCGTGGCCGTTGACCTCCAATTAGGCTTCGATCCGCAATATGCGGCGACCTTTTGGGTCCTCGTCGACGGGCCCATCCATATGGCAGTGCTGCAAAAAATCAGGGCTGTGCTCCTCGAAAGCTGCTGACCGAGCACGGCTGCCTTTTTCCGTTGGTGCAACTTCTCGGCGTGAAATCACCGGTCATTTGCATGAACTTCCCATGCGCGCATACGTGTAGAACATCCACAACACGCGCTAACATGTCTCCCCTTCCTTAGGTGGCAATTCCCTCCCTCTTGGTTTCTGCAGTCCCTGTGATGCCTCCTGCTTGCTCGGCCACCTAATGGCGAAGGGAGCCGCTTTGTCGCACGATGCGGGGAATCGGGGGGTACCATGCCGAGCTGCGCATGAATGCAAGTCGCACCCATGTTGAGCACGCGCACACCGGCAGTGTTAGCAGTGGCTGCTGACATCGCATCAATTGAGACGTAGCTCGTCTGGAGGAACATGTGTATTTCGTTGGCCTGGGCCCAACAATCCAAGCGCACACCTCAGTACCTGCTCTGCGGTGCTCTGTCATGCAGGTCCCTTGCAGCGCTCAACTACACCTCGTCGCGACACCGCGAACCGGGCCAGTTTGCCCGAGTGCTCCAGACTTGTAAGACTCAAATCCGGCACGAGACACGAGGGCGCAGTTGCCACTCATCACAGCCACGCTCGCCAACGGGAGCGCCTCAAACGAAATGAAAGAAAAAGCCAACACTCTTTGATGGTGCATTTTCGGATAAACTCAGACCAACCAGACAGAGATGCACTGACACCCTAGGGCCAGCCCAGCGGCATGAACGAGCAGAACTGCCGATTGAAAGAATAAGCAGGAGCAGCCGGCTAGGATGTTCGCCGTGGCCAAGCAGCGGAGGCTGAGGCAAGCCCAATGCTGAGCTGTCAGCTGACCTGCAAGAAGATCAGCGCTTTCACTGCCCGGCATAACACACCCAATCACAAAGACGGTATCAGATCGTGTTTCAGAATTTTGCACGGGCTCCCTCTGCTTGTGATCGCCGAGGCTCAGGATGCGTCTGTATGCAAGACCGGTTGATGCTGGAATGTGAACACAACTGCCAGCCTCTTGCACAAGAGGCTTCGACACGTTTTCCTTTCATACACGATTCAAAAGAATCTCCGGAAACCGGCTGAGCTGCAAGATGGACACCGCCAATACCCAGCGTTGTTGGACGACCATGGCGATCCAAACCGCAATGGGCAGCTGTGTGCAGGCGGCAGAAGCGCGCAACCATCGACGCACCCGAACATCACGGAGAGCCATCTGGCGCGGCTCTCGCTGAGAAGCACGTGCAGATGTCCAGGTCAACATCGATTGCAGCGTGGCTGCCCTGTGCAGTGCCGGTTCGACGAAGGCATTTTGATTTCTTAAGACACGTTGAGCCAGTGCAAGGATTCAGGACTTTCAGACCTTACCAAAAAATTGTGAACAACATCAACTCGTGCTGCACTCGCCATTCCACAAGATGCCAACCGCTGTAGCGATTTCTACGAGTGCATTGGGTGCGACTCCTAGGTGGATGCGGGGCATCAGTGCCCATTGTCTTCACCAGCCGTGCCTGGATCTCGCTTTGGCTAAAGCTTCTCCCAAGTTGATGTGCCGAGACGTGCAGAGATAGAGCTGTCCAGCAAGTGGGGATAGCACCGCACCGATTAGGATGAGAGTCAATGCGACGGGAATCCATGTCTTCAGGAGGATTGGGAGCTGGGCATAGGTGCAGCTTGCTGACCCCTCGTCTGAAGTCCAGCCATCGGGGCACGGATAGCAAACGTACTGGCCGCGTTTGGAAAATAATCCAGGACTGCACAGCGCCCCTGCGTCGTCTGCTCGGTAAAGGTCCTGACCCGATTTGCTCCCAGAATTGGGAACACAAACCATGGCTGGCAAGCTACACTTTGCGCCGAGGGACTAAGCCAACGAGAACTGTTCGATCATCGATGATAGCCAGACCTCAGCTAAGTGCCAGTTCTCGGAGTTTCCGAATACAATGACATAAGTTCAAGGTGAAAGGAATGACAACTGATATCTGATGCCGACTGATTGATGAGCGGCTGTTCGAAGGCACGGCAGGCTTCATGGCCCTCACACTCAGCACAGCCAGCTCGCGGAATTTCATGTCGTCCATGGCGAACACATGCAGCCTGCTGGCTTCCTCACAGGCCAGCAAACGGCAAGTGCAATTGCCACAGCTCGTGTTCTGCAGGAACCATACTTCACCTGACGTGCCTGAAAATGCAGTTTCGGCCAAGGGACAGTTGCTGCCTGAGAAGCTCTGACTTTCAAGCCGCGCACTCCGTTGGTTTGCAGACGCTTCTATCTATCTGTACCAGGCAATTCGCATCTTCAGTTGCATGTCCTTTGCACACCTGCTGAGCCGCACACGAGCAGCATGCCGTCCGCTGCAAGAAGGGCATGAACCGATCCCGCAGTGTCCATGAACTCGAGAAAGTTCCACAGTAGTATGGAACTTCCGCGCTTTCGGCGGGTCCGCACTGGGATCACCTCAGGTTTGGTGGAAGGCGCGGGCTCCTTCTGGCTTGAGCATGGATACAGTAGAGAGCTAACGGCAAATGAGAGTGTCGCCAATGACGAGGAAAGACCAGAAGCCACCACCGAATCCGAAAGAACGGCCAGCGAGCATATCTCACCTGACACATTCACGCCTCCCCTCGCCAACAAAGGAGCCATGCAGCAAGCCTGTCCGTGCCTGGCATCCGGATTCTTCTAAACACCATGTCTCCATAGAATTGGAGGTCTATCACCAACAGGTCGTCGCTTGCCCCAGCCCACAGAAACTCTTTCGATGAAGCCAGGGCAGAAACTCCACCTTTCCATCTGCCCCCCCTTTGCCCTCTGTTTGCTTTTCTGCTATTTTCAAAACCACCCAACCTTGGGATTTCAAAACGGAAGAAGGCTGCAAATACGGCGGTGGCGATCGATGCACGCTCGAGATGTTGAAGAAGTACACATCGCTCGGCCACGCACCAACGGCCAGCAAATCGAGTGTCGGAAGCAGCTCGGCTGAGGTCGCTCCCGGGACTAAAGGATACCCATCCAGTTGCAAACGCGTGAGGGGGAACCAAGACCCGGATGCATACCGCGGCTCTGTGCCTGAGTAGGTGGAGAACACCGCGACAGCACCTGATCTCGGACTCTAGACCCTGCAGTTTCTCTTTTGCTGCGCACAACAGACAACATGTCACCGCTCAGGAAGTTAGCGCCAAGTGTCCTTGCCACTGGCCCACCAGCACCGTGTCATTCGAGATTGAGTGGAAAAAGCTGATGGGTTTTGGAACTGACAGCTCGTCGGCTGGCTTCCTCGCCGACGACATGCCTGCATCAAGCTTAGGATATGCTTCCCCTGCCAACGTCGTAGCCCAAGCCAACCTGCATGACTGAAGATGGAGACGTGCTTCATTGATGCCACGACCAAGCCTCCAGCGACTCCAGCACAACCCGCGTGCAGTGACACACATGATACACACACACACACATAAGAGGCACCAGATGTCCAGCTTTGAAGAGGTGTTCGGGCGCTCACGCTGGAAGTTTCGGCCTCTCCCAGGCAAGTTCACCATGCTGATCCCCGGTGTGTCCAGCGGGAGAGCTCTCGAAGGGCGCACGAAGTAAGCGTCATCCTGCAATACCTGCACGTGCTCCCCAATTTCAAGGCACGATCGGCGGAAAGAATCCAGGCTCTTGCCTTCTGGTCGAAGATGTCTACCGTGTTGGATGAAGTGACAACCGCGAGCCCATTGTCATCCAAGACAAGTATGGGATGGGGCCAGCCGTTTGGGTGCAGCTCCTTCCGCGGCTGGACACCTCCAATCGGAAGCTTCTGTCAACTGCACATGCAGTGCTGCACTAGCCCTGACCCAATACGCTCACTGCCTAAGACAAGCGGCTCAAGAAAGCAAAGGATTCCAGTGCATGCTGTATGAAGCCTAGCCTCCTTGTACAACTTCGCTCATCCTTTGCGACGGATGCTTCGACCAGTTCGCAAACACAGAAGTCCTTACAAGCGCTAAGCCGACGGCAGGAACACCTCGATCCTGGCATCTAGACAGCCTTGCTGATGCATGAGGATCAGTTGTGGCATCAGGCTTGCAAAATGCCGACCCTCGTCATGCCGTGGCACCTGCCGCAAAGCCTCTCGGCAGCACTGCCAGCGACACATAAACCTCAGCCACGTTGAGGTCGTAAAGGCACATTGACGGGCTCTACTGAGGATGAGTGGCGGTGTCGGCACGAACAATCTGGACTGGCTCTTGCCGCCGATTCTGCAGCACATCGTCAAGTGAGTAGATCTGAAGTCCTTTTTCTGCGGCAACCACTGCCCGGCCGTCCACTATGACCTCCAACAAGGCAGAGACAGCTGGCAACGCGTGTCCGTGTCACTGCATGTCACGGAGAATGACTCTAGCCAGCCAGGGCGCCAGTGCATGGATGGCGGCATGTAGGTTCAATTCGGCGAGTGGTTTCACAGATCCTTCTCTTCGTTCGATTGCGGCTGCCTCGTAAAACAGTATCTCGCCATTGACCCCCGTCGATGCTGCCAGAATTTCCGTGCTTGCCAAAACAAGCTCAGCAATGCCGTGCTTCGTCTCAATAGCAAAGCTCGACTTGCTTTCTGATGTCAAATCGGAAGGCCCAAAAACCTCGATGGTGCCATTCGACGCCTCCTGCTGCGAAAAAAGGGTTCCTCCAAGAAGAGTGGCACCTGTCGGCAACCGAAGTATTGAGACAACCTCCGCGCGAGTCTCCAGATAGATGTCGTGGCCACTTGCCATGCCAAGCTGCGTCGCTGAGAACATATAAACGAGCCCAGAGGGAACATACGATATCTGAGAGGGCAAATAAGTGGCGACAGCGAGGGTCATGTTCTCCAACATGGCCACTGCAGTCACCCTTTCGTCGGCTACCTGGCTGACCAGCAGCATGACTTCACCCCTCGAAAGTCACGGAAGGAAGACTGAAACCAACCCTGCCCAGCTGCCGACCACACAGGCACCCGAGCAATTGCTCCAGAGCAGCTCTGGCTCGAATCGTTCCAAAGCTGAACTCGATCGCCCAACATGCCCATAAGACCAGCTGGGCCTCGGGTGCAAAACACTCAGAACCTGGGCAGCTCTTGCTTGTTGGGGCCCAGGTCAGGCAAGACTCCGTTCTGTGCGGGCGTGTGGGAAGCCAGAGTCCTCAGGGAAGCAGCAACTGGTTATGAGAGGGTTTGAGAGTTCGGTGGGATGATGTGAGGTCCTGCAGGGCAGCAGCGGCCAGGCACGGCCAGGAGCGGCAAATTGCTTGAAGGGTCCTGCGCGTATGCGCACGGTGCTTGCCAGACCTTGCGACTTCTACCGCGGTTTTCTAAAGCTCTCAGGTCCTGCAAAAGCTACTCCAAGCAGCACCAGGTGTGGCAGTCGACATGCCAGGCTGCGCCTCATGTCCTGACTACATTCCTTCACAGAGTAGCCATTACCGGACACACCCTCCCTCCGTTGACCTGTTGGGCTGAGCCTGGCAGCGGTATGTCAGAGTGATCCGAGCCACATAAACCCCCATTGCAGCAGCATATGTGGGATCATGTAGGCTTGTAGGCCTCAGCGGTGGTTCCAGAACAGCTCGATAGGCTCCCTTCCTTGACACTTACAGCTAGCAGCCAGCCCTGACCATTGAATTGGCTCTCTGTGGATACGAGACCACGACGACGGCAGCTGCTCTGTCACGGGGCGGTCGCTGGAAAATGTCGGCAAAGCCTTGCCAGCAATGGCTTTAGCAACTGAGGCTTTGAGCACTCTGGAACCATCGAACGAATCACGAGCCGCACACATCTCCAAGACGAAACCTCCGCACACGGAACCCACCCCAGCTTAGCAAAGCTCCTCTCCAAGTCTCCAAACTGTTGACGACAACACGCAGGATCGTCTGGGAGCCGTGCCACTGCGTCGCTGAGCTTGAACTACTCGGGATGGGGTGGACAATTCGCCTGCGTCCACCACGCGGCGAAGCTCAATCAACATCCCGCTTTGAGCTGACTTAACTCAGCACAAGAAACGTGGCCGAGAATATGCAGGCCGCAAAGGGCGCACCATCCGAAGTCTCCATTTCGCAGTGGCACCACATCTTCAGCGTAGAACCTCGGGAGATCAAAATCATTGGAGCACAAAGGGCGAGATGCTCCAGGGCTCTCTCACAAGCTGTTCAGGACCCATGCTCAATGGCAGTGAGGTCGACAGATGAATTGAAGCAAAGCTGGAGGTCCAGGAAGACCGTCTCCTGCAAGAACTTTCACCACATGTTTCACCTGCTGGCCCCCACACGGCAAATGGCAAGCGTTGATGGTCCTCCGTTCTGCTGGCATCCGAGGTCCCGTGCCACCTGCGCAGCCCAAGGCTGTGATTTGGCAGGCATCTTGGCAAAAGAGCGCACCTCTCACGCGGAAGAGGGGCATGGCCCTTTGCCAAGCCCAAATCCGAGCTGGTGGCAGCCTGAAACAATCCCGAAAACAAGCAAGAGCCGGATGGATGCGAAGTTCGCCGCCTCAGCCGAAAGCTGGTGAAGGGCTGCCACGGGCCCTTGCAAGAGTGACATGTGGCTCTACATTAAGGCGAGAAGACACGGGTCCACGCTCGTTTGAGAAGGCCTGCTGGCACTGAAGGCAGCACAGTCAGGCATGCTGCAAGCCGTGTCAGCATGAAGGCACCAAAGTTCGCGCGTCCGCCGCGCCATCGCCAGCGTTCCCAAGTCAAACACAATGGGCTACTTGTCTAATCACCGACAGAAATAGATTCACCGTAAACAACGGTCCCACAAGTTGATGAGTTCGGACGGATAGTTACACCGCTGCCGCAAAGGCCAGTTGGGTTGACTTGAAGGCCCTTCTTCCGTGTGTTCGGGCCGAAACTGCACTATTTGAGTCGAAGATTGCAGTTACCGTGCAACACACAAGCATCCAAGAGGCTTCGCGGAGTGGAGCAGCGACTATCGTTTTGATCCGCGCGGGAAAGCAAGGACTGCGAGAGTATCCGAAAGGCTTCGAGCAGCTCCTCCGTCGTCTGTCCGTTTGGAAGCGATTGCGACCTTCGAGCGAGACATGGGAAGGTTGCGGCGGGAAAGCACGGCTGATAGGCTTTGGCTGACAGCAGGGCCGAGGAGCTGCTCCGGCTGCTGGGCCTGGGCCGCCTGGGCCGCCTGGGCCGCCTGGGCCGCCCGGGCCCGGAGGCCTCCAGCTTGGCAGGGCCACTCCACTCCCAGCGAGGACATGGCCCCCATCATCGGCACGGGATGAGCCTCCCAAGAAGGCCCAGTTTGTAAAGCTCGCGGCAGAGTGCGGGAGGCTTTCCCCAGGGCCTCCGTGCTGAGAACGAAGCGATCCAAGGGGAGGACGGAGTCTGGGGAGAAGAGCAGGAACAGGTACCTTAACTTTTCAGGGAAATCTTTGTCGGTGGTATTTGCGGCGGGTGATGCGGCTCAAGCACCAGCCGGCAGTCGAAGCAAAGTCACTGCTGATAGAAACAGGCTGAAGATCAAACAACAACAGACCAACCTACCCTGTCCTGCACCACAAAGCCAAAACCCCAGAGCTGAAAAAACCCAAGCACGAAATCTGAGGTTGTGTCCAAAATATCCCGAAATCCTTGCATATAGAAAGTTCTTTAAATAAGCCGACAGGGTCTGGGGTTCAGGCTTTGCGGAGGGTTAAGGTTCAGGGCTTCAGGTTTCGCCTTCAGGCATAAAAGGAATCACGTGCGCAGGGTTACTTGAGGCCTTCGGGGCGCGCGGCTCCAGGACTTGCTGGTTTCGGGCTTCGGGTTTGGACTCTTACAGCTTGGTTAGTCCGGACAGGCGTCTGGGTTCGTATGATTCAGGGTTCGTATGATTCAGGGTTTAAGACTTCACAGATTCACAGGCATAGGCCGACGGCATCGTCATGTCTAATGTAAGCATTTACGAGATATGGGATACGGCATGTTACGGCTTCTGTGTTTGTGATGAGGTTTCGGGCCTGGGTGGGTTTATCAGGCATCCTTCTGCTTTTGTTTAAGCCACTTCAGGGCACCGCCAAACCTTTAATCCCGCGGTAAACGTTGCGGCATAGGGTTTAGTTTGTGGTTTTGGAATTCCGGTTGTGGTCGGCACTCATTACATCAGTCATGCGTCGAAACCCGAATCAATGTACATGCCCGTCAGCGGCAATCACGGGCGCTCAAACTAGAAAAGTGTGCAGGAAGTGCGTCGGCTCAGCTTACAGTCACGACAACTGCTCATGCCCAGGCACTTCAGTGTTTCGGCTAGAAAGAAGGAAGGCATGTCATCCCGCTTGGATGATGGCTGGTTGACGTTGTGCAAACTTGCGAAGCCGTAGCTCGTCTTGAGGCGATAGAAAGCAGAAAGTAACCTCTGCCCCCAGTTCCGATAAACCTGGAGCTTGGTCGTCCGCCACAGGACGAAAAGGCTCTCGACCTGGAGCATCTCAAAAGGGAGATGGTTTCCTTCCATGCCAACTGCACGTAGCTGCACCAGCTTGCAGTGGAGATGCAGTTTCTGGTCTCAGGATGTTGTGCATGGAGCCGTGGTCATCCTGCTCAGGCTTTGTTCTGACTGGTCCCGAGAACAAAGAAGCCATGGCTAGGAGTCAGGCAATGTGGATGCGGTGGAGTTGACGCCAGAACAGTTGAAAGAACAGGGGGCGGTTTCACGACTGCAAGAATGCAGAGTCAGAAACAGAGTTCAAACGGACTCACGACGAAGAAGACAGGTCAGAGACAGGGTCAACCGCACCGCGCAGATGAAGCTGCACACAGTCAGGAACAAGATGAATGGAACACCACGAGCAGCTGGCAAACAAACACAGGCTAGCTTTTGGAATCACTCCCCGCAAATCTTGGGAAAAATTCTGGTACAGACGAAGACGGAAATGACTTGAGCTGATTCTGGATCGATTCGGGACCAGCTTGACTACCAAGCCATGAAGAATGAAGAAACACTCCTGGAATTCGCCAAAGCTGCAGACTGCGAATGAAGCGAAAAGAAACAGGAACTCCCCTTGTACATCGCCTCTACCGTTACCTCAACACGGGGAAACAGTTCGAGCTTTGGCTCATATCCTCCGCTGGCACCATGGAACCTTAGGGACGGCTGAAGCCTGTCATGGTCATGCGTCCTCCAGGCCGTGGCCATTAAATCGGGTGATCTCAGGAGCCAAGTCCGTCACGGTGCGAAAGTACATCTGCACACCTCACATCCAGACACGTTCACGTTCTTCCTCCCACATGCAACTGGTCTGGGCCAGCTAACCCTGCGCTCACGGTGATTACTTTACTCAAGCTTCTGAGGCTTCCAAGCAGCACGACTGCATCAGCCTGAAGGGAAGGGCGTATAACGAAACAACCCAAACGCAAACAAGAAAGGGTCAACAAGTCCACGGCTACTGCTGGCGGGCAGCTTGTGGGCCAATGTCAGCTCCACTGCACGGTCTCTGTCCAGGTGATGCGGTTGCACTGCTGTCACGTTGAGTCGGCGGACTGCGTGATGAAAGACATCAAGCGCTAAGGCACCAGGAAGGAAGCAGATCAAGTGATCCTGCAGCCATGAACAGATACTGACAAGTACATGGCCAGATGTGGCAAGAAAGGGACTACCTTCCACTATCAGCACTGTTTCACCTCGGATTCCGCGAATGTCAAGTCGGTTGAACCCACGGTCCATCTTGGGGACTGTGTGCTTGAAGGTCACCTCTTTCAGGAACACCTGTGCCAGAGACTGTCTTGGGTCTTGAATTACGAAGCTGCAAGCAAGCCCATGACTGCAGGCACCACGAAGGCTCAGTCATGTGCCCACTTTCCAGGGATATCGCGGGAGGACTCGAACCAACCACCCTGCGCTCCAGCAGCACCTTTAGCACCTTCCACCTGCAACAGAAAGCGACACATGACGGCCCCAGAGTTCTGAATGTAACCAAAGAAATTGGAGACTTTTGCCCGCTCGCTGCTCGCTGCTCAGATCCTGCTTCCGGATTCCTGCTTGGCCTCGCCATCGCCTCTCGGCCTCCCCTCTCCTTGCCGTCTAAACTCTAAAGATAGCGACTGCGGCCAGTGCGGGCAAGTCGTGTCGCGTCTCGGGTCAATCAGGTCTGAAGCCATTCCGCGCACGCAGTGCGTAGACTTTCGAGAGGTCGGCGACGGAGCTGCGAGGACACGGAGCGCATGGCAATCCAGTGTGGCACCAGCTTAGCCTGTTCTCTGCACCAGATGTACGCCGAGCTCGGACACCACCTGGAATTGTCAGAATGTAACAGTACCCCCGAGCCACAGAAACCCGCAACAAGAAGGAAAGCCAGCAAGAAGCCGAGAGGCGAGATCACTTAGTTCACCCTTTTCCAATTCGAAGGCCACCTTTACCACTGCCACGGGCACACTGGACTGCACAACCTGGCCCAAATCGTGGCAACGGAAATGTGGAGGACCGTGAGTAGCATGCTCCGACATCATCAGGTTCAACAAAAGCAGAAACGTTGCGCTTCAGCACGATGGTATGAGAAGGTGCTGCTGTTGGGATGCTTTCGGCGATGCCTTTAATGCTACCTTGCACTACTCCGTTTTTGCAATACAGTTCATCATCTTTTGCAGCTCATTCGTTCAGTGTGCAGACCATGCCTTCGACCTCCTTCAGCATTACCCTCTTTTCCCTCGCCTACGGTACTTGAAACGATGGAAACGAAGGCTAGGTCAAACAAACGAAGCAACGTCGATAAAGCTCGGTCGTCATTGCTTTCATGCTCGGCAGCATGGACACAAGCACATACGAGCGTTTGTCAAACTTATTGCTTCAGGTCTGGTCGTGGATGAATTGGGGGGTCCTATCGCTCGACAGAATCTGGTCAGCTTTTTCTGTGGGGTATCGGTTTGATCTGGTCAAATTCAAAACAGTAGTAGTACGAATAGTAAAGCAATAGTAGCAGGAACTATATTGGTAGGAGTAACGGTAGTGATCTCACTACTGTAGTCTGAGCAAAGTAACAGGGATGCTCCCATCGTCTGGGGCAGTGGCCCATAAAGACGATCTGGCGGGTATCGATTAGGGTATCGATTGGGTATCGATTGCCTAGCCAATCACACGGAAAATTTCGGGACACATGCGGCGGCAGCAGTCACAACAGATGATCTTCGTTGGTCGTATATGGCTGCCGAGGGGCTCCTATCTCTTTTCGAGGGTTTTGCCAAATCTGACATTACACGACAGCCCTACTCTTAACTACAAGTACGGAAGTTTCTTAGTGTCGGCGTTGGGGGGCGCTAATCCGTCTGTTCCACTCGCTCCACTCGCTCCACTCGTTCCACTCGCTCCAGTCGCTCCAGTCGCTCCACTCGCTCCGCTCGTTCCACTCGCTCCACTCGCTCCACTCGCTCCACTCGCTCCGCTCGCTCCGCTCGCTCCGCTCGCTCCACCGTTCCACTCGCTCCACTCGTTACATGTTCCACTGATTAGAGCGAGTGGCCAGTGGGGCGAGTGGCGCGAGTGGTGCGAGTGGAGCGAGTCGCGCGAGTGGCGCGGACTAGGTTTTGGGATGTTGAGGGTCCGGTCTGCAATCTAAGGGCCAGCTACTCCACTACTCCGACCGTTCCAACCGTGCCAATCGTTCCACTAGAAGCGTGTTCCACTCGTGCCACTCGCCCCAGTCGCCCCTGTACGTTACCTGTTCCACTCTTTCCTTTAACTGAGCGAGTGGCGCGAGTGGAGCGAGTGGCGCGAGTGGCACGGACGACTTTAATTCTCCCCCGCGTGCGGCCGCAATGGGAATTTTTGACGGGTACTTATATGTATTACTGCATTATCATGAAGCTTGAGATGACAGCATTCTTCTCCATTACCCTGGCTCACATGCACCCTTGTCGTAGTACCTTGACCGACCTAATTGTGCTCAGGAATGTCTCTGCACAAGCACTAACTCGGCCATGAACGACTGTCCTGGTGGTAGCATGGCTAATTATTATACCGATGCACCAGACTTGAACCTGCTGCGCACACGCACTCGGCCACAAAGACTACATGCAAGTTGCCCTGTTGTTTAAACAAATGGACCTTCAGGGGAAGACTGACCTTGTACAATACCACAGCCTCATTACAATGGTGGAGGGGGGTCTCTGAATCAATTGCGGAGTGTGGCAGGGGGGAATGTGAAAGGACCAAGAATAGAAGTTCCTGGACACGACTTTAATCTAGGTCGGTACGAATTACGGTGAGTTGGTCAACGAGAGCTCCCGCAAGCTCCACAAAGCTAGCTAACGTGACTTGGCGCTGTCGATGATCACACCAAGTCGTTATGATACCACGAACACGTTCTTTTCCTGAGCCAGGCTAACGAGGCTGGGACAACGCTACCGCTACCATATCGTTGTCTTATCCTCGTCTTCTCCCTTTTCATGTCTTATCTTGCAAAGGAATGTACTATGTACCTTATCTCATGAATGTAATCGCAAGCTGTTGCCATGGAGCAGACTTCGGGCCGCCAGGCTGGCCCTTCGCCTTCGCCAGTGCTGCCACCTTTGCCTGGTCCTGACGTCGCAAAAACTTGAGATTCCCGGGAAGCTACATGTAACATGTAGCCCTGCTTGGCGAAGTGAAGCCTACCAGTAGCAGAGCATGGCTTGTTTAACGACCAGTCCAGCCAGCCAAGATCACCGTTATCTGCTCCCCCACGCATCGCGGAGCCGCATTCCGACAAGGCCTTACAGATGCACGCAAAGTTCGAAGAGTTCTCCGCCAGCAGCTTGTCCAAGACATCCTGACACCAGACGAAGCCCACAAACACATGCCTGGCAAAGACCAAAAGAATGTTAAGGAGGCCTATGCTTGGTCGCTCTCTTCTGTGGTCCCAGGCACCAGCATCTGGACCTCGGCTTCCTCCAATTTCCTTGTAACAGGTTTTCTTGTAACTGGGTTGATCGGCTGCGCGCCTTTACCTCAGAGTTGCATCGATCAATCATGAACAAGTCTGGACGCGTTCTTGAGTTGTGGAGAAAATGATCTTCTCTGTATTTGCCTAAATCTGGTTGAGATGCCCGACCAAAAGCGAAGGAGTATCTGGCGAACCCGCACCTTGCTTTGTTTCATCTTCTCCTGCCGCTGTCATCAAGCTGTGGCAAGTCCCGAATCACTAGCCCATCTGCATGCACCAGGAACTCTCTCAGCCATCTGACAAGACGTATGGTCCTTGGCAGCTTTCCTACCGACCTCCGGGCTCTCGTCTGCAACCAGAACCTTTGCACAGCGTGTGTCGCCAGGCCTCAATTCCACACGACCTGCCAGGCCAGGCCTTGTGGAAGCCAAGGCAAGCCGTGGCCGCTGCCAGGGGCCCAGCAGAACCTGCCTGCAAAGAGCGCAAGGGCGTGCAAGGCTGCCCTGCAAGCTCTGAGGTTTCGCCTGGCGCGCTGCGCGGAGCAGGGCCACGGCGGCTGCGCGCGGCCGCCTCTGAAACAGCGACCTAGGCTCGGATCCAGCGCCAAGGTGTCACTTTCCCTTGTGAGAGCTGGGAGATGCATGGAGGTCGAGATGCCGGCTCACCGAAGCGCAAGTGACGTTGTCATCCAGAGTAGAGAAGCCCGCGAGGAGGGCAATTGGAATGCACACATCTGCGACACCTGGACTTGTAGCTGGGAGCTGTTGGAAGGAGCAGACGGAGCCATTCACCTCCATGGGCGCCACCGCGGTACAAGCATCACTGGCAGCTCCAGCCATCAGGCAAGCACGGGCACCAGGTGCAGAAGCAGCTATAACTTTGCGTCCAACAAGCAACGCAACGGCTGCCAACGGCAGGACCCCATTCTCGCCCGCGACGTCCATCATGGCACCCGTCAGTGCACCGAACCAAGCTTGGTCAAACCAAGCACTTCGCCACGAAGCAATCCGCCGCACAAGCCTCTCATGAAACGTGCGCGCTGCCTGGTCGACTGGCACACCGCCGTCACCAGCCGAACAACCAAAAACACCAATCATGGAGGCTGGTGCATCCACGTGGTCAAAAGGGGCTTTCAGGGCGTGCGCGACGCGATGGAGGTCCGGAATCACCACTGTCTTGGGTGCGCTTTTGTTGTCACTGCTCGCGATGGCAACCGCTGTACCCGAAATCAATTCTAGATCCTCATGTCGCACACCTTCTCCTCGGCACAATGGTGCTCACAACGTGCAAGCACAGACTCAAAAGCGCAAGCGACACTCCCCTCAACCCTTTGCCGAGGCGCTGATGGGACAGAACATGCCTGTACTTGCATTCAACCACGCAAACGCACCGGTCTTCTTGTTGAAGAACTCTTCTGTCTTCACATTGAAGAGCCATTCCTCATGCTCGCTCACCTCAAAACCTGGTGGTGGATCCGGTAGAGCCTCCGCATCACTCCTGCTGGACTGGCTGCGACAACAAACACGCGAGATCGCGTTGCACCCCTCAGAACATCTCAGAACAAGTATGCTTTCATATTATGCTTTCACTACGCAGAGCAGACTGAATCGGTCCTGTCGTCGTCGGAGGCCCCGGCTCGGTTGCCGATCACGTCTTCGATGAGCTGCGTCGCCTTCTCTATGGACTCAGCCGTACCAGTTATGGTAACGTTTCTCTCCTTGGCTGGTGACAACAAACGGATGGAAACCTCGAGGACCATTCGCTAGATCATGCTTCAGAAGATCCTCAGAAGCGAAGTCAGCAATTAGGGCGGGTCGCTGCATCGCGATCGCCATCGTCCCTGGACACCTCTATTTTGGCACCACTTTCGCGGGACATGGACTTGACGGTCTCACCACCTCTGCCAATGATCATGCCTGACAACTGCAATCCGAGGACCGGGAGTCGATTTGTTCACATGTGACATGCGAAGCATGTGCAGAAGATGCAGCCTGGCAGCCTACAAAAGCTCCAGGCACTTGCATAACTTTGCGCTGCTCTTGTGGGGGTCGCCTTTCGCTGTCCACGATCCTCTTTACGGCACGGACTGCCCTGTCCACTGCTTCTGGAGATCCTGTGATTGTCACAGGCCGGTCCTGAAGATGAAGGCTGACTAAAGACAGAGGCTAGGCGGGCCACGGGAGAAAGCCTCCGGAAACATCTGACGACGGGTCGTGCGAAGACTGCCGCAAGGTGCGGCGTCAGACAGCACAAACCCTGCTCAAATATTGGTTGTGAGAAACATCGGAACACTAGTAACACTTCCCTTGATCCTCTTGCTTCGGCCTGAACCCTCGCGACCTCGCGACTACCCAACACCACACCCACACCCGACCGCCCTCCCCGCATCTTTCCCCCTTCGTCCACCCGCATCCACCCCTAACCCTCTTGAACCGTGACCTCTTTCTCTTTCGCCCCCCTTTTTGACCTCTTGCCTCTCTTGACCTCCTTGCCGTTCCTGGACTCCTGCCCCTAGCACTGGAAAATCTTGCCTGCTCAAGCCCAAGACAGAAGTAGCAAAACAGAACCATAAACAAGAACGACGAAAATCAACACGTACTAGACATGATGGTCATTTCGCTGGCAAAAGAGTGTAGTAGTCATTTAAAGGCTGTCGCGACAGGATGAAAATCATGATCATCATGTCGATTTACAAAACAACAACAGCATAAGCAGTAGCGCAACAATGGGTCAAGCTGGTCACGCAGGGGCAAGAGGGTCAAGAGGGTCACCAACTGATCTGACAAATGGCACCCCGACTGCCGACACATCAACGGTTTTTCAAGATGCAGAATCCAGAAACTTCACGGAGAGGCTAAGTTCAAGAATTCCCGACAGAAAGGATACTGCTGGGCTTCTGCGGGGCGGATTGGGCCGGGGAAGCGTTCTCGGTGATGATGGAGCATGCGATGATACTCCATTCTCCACTAGATGAGTCGATTGTAGGCCTCTAGTCAAGGGTCGCTACTACCGCGGTTCCACATGAATCTGGCCACCCATGCGGGAATATGTCTCAATGTACACCTGGGAGCCCAATGACGGCCCTTCCACACGCAGCCTCAGCTTTTCAAAGCTTTTTGTCCTCTCCAAAATTGAGCTTTCTCCGCAACCCAACAGAATCGCAAAGCTTTAAAAACTCATAGTTTTTCTTCGTCTGCAAAACGTCCCACACTTTCTGAAAGCATGAACATGCAGGGAGCTTCACATGGACAAATTCCGAGTTTTGAGGGAAACGCTACGTAGGGTATGGACTATGGCCGTGGAAAGTTGCAGGTGCAGGGCCTGGACAGTGGGTGTGGCAAGTGGCAGCTCAGGCGTAGAAAAGCCAGCTGGTTGGCATGGATATGACTCTTCCAGGCACGGTCCCATACAAAAAGAAAGACATGCGATGCCATTGCTTTGCTTCTTTGGCTTCCACTGCAGTTCGCCGCCTAAAATATGGAGCAAGCATCGGCATTGCCGGCATCCTCCCTGGCAACTTCGATCCGCGCACCCGTCTCTCTGCACAACGCATTGATGCTTTCACCACCGCGGCCAATTAGCACACCTGTCAACTCCGGCGGCACGTAAAGCCTGAGATTCCACTCTGCCAAGAGAAAGGCCCGAGAGGCGGGCGAAACATGTAGTCCAAGTCCAAACAAACCTAGCCAAGGTGCACCTGGTGTCCAACCCGCTCATGAGATTCGGATTTGCACTCACGCGACCTCACCGAGAAGAATGACAAGTCCGCATGTAATTGGCATCTCCGCACAAAAATTGCACGTGACACTGTCACATCGCTCTGACCGGACAGATGCACCGCCTTCTCTGGGACTCTTCGATTCACTGTTGGCTGTCAAATGCTGTCCAGAAGGTGCCTGGACCGTGATCTGGAGCGCTCTCTGGGCACGCTCTCGACCATGGCTGGGTCGGCTTTCGAGAGACTTTCAGGCGGCGCAACAGCAATCGCGTTGGGGCCTCTAAATGCTGAGAGCCTATTAAGCCACACCACTGCTGCAGCAACCAAAACCCCCGAGACCGTGTGTTCTTATGTGTTTGCTGTAAGCCAAGCTTGAGAGGTGACATGGTCCCGAAGTTCAGCCACGTTCTGTGTGTCTGACAACCTCTGAGTCTGAAGCACGCGAAATGGGATGCTCGTCTGCCCTGCCTTCTGCGGTCGTCGCTGTGCAGTCTTGATGGTCTTGCCTGCCGGGAACAGCAGCGATGCCTGCAACCACCTCCGTCCAATCAGTTCCCGCAGGGAAGGCGGCACACGGCGTTTTTCTACTACGGCAACGAATGGGTCTTGGTCTGGGTCGGGCCTCGCTTGGGCCAACCCGCACGCAGGCCCCCAATCTCGAGCACCGCTGCAGTGGGCGGGTGCTGTCAAAGACTGTTGGAAAAACGGGGCTCGCTCAGGAATGGCTCTACAACGGCATAGCCAGGCTTCTTACTTCAAACCGCTGACAACCGAATAGAACACGCCTCCCAAAGGAAGTTCAATGGTGTCATTCCCGTGCTGTCAATTAAAGTATTTTCGAGCCCTTCGATGCAAATGTACAGTATAGGTCCGTCCAAGCCCCTCCGTGATCTCGTCACATGTTTCAGCTGTACAGCCTCGGACGGAAGCCTCAAGGGGCCCACTACAAATCATGCTTGAGCCATGAAGCGCAGGTGGTATCCAGCCTGCCTGCCACTGGCAGACTTCACAGTCTCGGATGCCTTTGCCAGACACGGACATGCTTCGCCAAACACTGGGCTAAACAGCTTGAACAAGGTAATATACACGTCTTGCTGCCCGTGGCTGGCATGTGTATGAGTATGAGGCTCACTGCAACCGTGACTACACATAAGTCAAGCATGCCTTGCCAGTACGTGTTCGTCTGGTTTAGTTTCCTTTGTCGTCTCACCGGCAGAGAGCACATATGTAAAGAGTTCTTTGAGTGAATTCGGCCAGTTACGTCCAGTCAACGGAAAATGGACGCCATGCACACGGTTTTGTCACAAGCGATGAATGCTTTGGAAAATTGACGTGCCTTCCCTGGTTGTTGGAAGTCTGCACGCAGGCATGTACAAACAAGCAGCGAAAGCTAAAACCCAAAACAAGCCCTGAAGCCACTGCTTCGCGCTGGAAGGGCTTCATTTTGAAGGCCTCCTCAACTCTTTAACAGGTCCACAGGGTCGCCAGCAGCGAACGTACCGCTAAGCCGGCTAAGCCGCTAGCCGCAGCAGAGAGACACAGAGCTTTTGCTTTGCCGCATTGCTTTGTCGCAAATGACCGCAGTCCTCTCGGCTCCTCTCAGCCTCAGGGCCTCAGCCGCCTCAGCCCCAACCGGCCCTTCGCAGCCTCTCACTGAGCTTGCCGAAGAGTTCGCGGATCCTGGTCGATTCGATGCTGATGCCCCACCTTTTCGAGCCCTCAAACTCTCCCTCCCCGGCACCTTTCTTGCATGGCGGAGAACTCCGCTGAGCCTCACACACTAGCTTCTCGACAATACACAGAAGGCACAGAATGCTCACTTGCGCGAGCCTGCACCCAGAGCCTGCTGGCGGCGTTTCTCGTCTGCTTGCTTGGACATGAAGCCCATTGCCATGCTGAAGGGGTCGGCCATTCCTGTGAAAGCTCGTGGAAGGGTCGGTCGGCCCAAGACGACGGAGAATGCCAGAGCATACAGCGCAGCAAGACAAGCCTGAGCCGATGCCTGTCATAGAATTTGGTGGCTGGTTGCCAATCTCATACATACCTTTAGCTGCCAGTCTTCAGAACTCTGCGGAGAGTTGCGGAGTGCATTTTTCATTTTGGCCCCGGCGATCGCGGGTGACATGCTCGAGGACCTGGAGCTCCTCCCGACTGACCCAGTAGATACAGTCCACGGGGCAGGACTGTACCTTGGATCACGACGGCATGGCGGCGTAGCATGGCGACCCAGGAGGCCAAGGCACCGCGTAGTCCAGGAGCTCTTCTCCGTTGCCCCACTGTGCAAACACCTCACCGGACACTTTCTCAAGAAGCACTGTTCTGTCTGCACTGCGCTCTGCTGGACATCAGGAAAGGAACCCGTGCGCGTCCAGCATCTGCATCAATGCAGAAGGTTCGCGGCGCAACATCACAGCCTTGGCTCAAGATGGCGATGCTCTTCTTATCAAACCTCCTGCTGATAATGTGCGAATGTCTCAGGTTGGAACAATTGCGGCATGCGATGCAAGTCCATTCATCAACAAAGACCTGAGAAGAGCAAGACTGCCCAAGGCAGGAAGAGCTCGAGCAGGCTCGCTGCTCACTGTCGGCCGCGCTGAGGATGCTGCAAACTTTTCCTCGTCGTATTTTGGCCCTGCTTCTTCTGGTGGCACTTTGTGGTAGAGAGACCGTGACAGAGGCCGCCCGTTGTAAACGGGCTTCCTGAGACGCAAGGTGCAGGGACGAGTGCAAGTGGAGCAAATACGAAGCCCCGAAACACCCGCAAGGCAGACGACCTCACTCTTTCTAAGCCAAGCATCGCCTTCTTGTTACCATTCTTGGAAGTCCAATCCTCAACACGATCAGTTCCCTTGATGTTCGGCCACAAGAGCATACAAAGGCACTGAAAGGATCTTGCAGACATGTGGCCCAAGTTGGGGAGAGGTCTTCATCAAAGACCACCTTTGGGCTATCACACAGCCAAGACCCCTCACTCTACCAGACTGCACCCATCATACTGCCCTCTATTCCGGGATGCGAGCTGGCTGTCTGGAACCGTTTCGTTCCACCAACTCGATATCATAGGCCTCACCCGGACAGAATGTCAAGATAGATTAATTGGTGTGTCGTGTTCCCTTTGGGTCAAGCCTTTTTCTCTTCCTCGTTCGACAGCACATCGTAGGCATCGTTCAGAAGAATACAGACTTCCTCACCTGAAGAAACTGCACTGCAAACCCGACCCAGTTGTGACGAAGGGAAATCTCAATCAGCTTCAATCTTGCGGCTACGGCCCCGGCCATCATCACCGGCTATGTCAGGATGGCAAATCTTCATTTTGTCATAGTAAGCCTTTTTGATTTTGTCCTTGGCTTCTTGGCCTAGACGCCTAGGCCTAGACGCTGGCGCGCAGTGCAAGTCATCTTCTCTCACAACAAAGCTTAGCCTCGGCGTCCGCATCTGCATTCACACCCAGCAACTCATAGAGGTCCTGTGGCACCTTGACGATGCCCGTGTCTGTCGAGGCCTGCTCCACACCCGAACCTGCATCCGCATCACTACGGAGTGAACCCTCAGGGGCTACGGGAGGCTGCTCACAGGCCTGCTTGCCGTTGAAGCCTCCGCCTTCTTGTTCTTGCCCCGGCAACCGCCAAGCCACAGAGGCTAAGGCTAGACCTCCGGAGCTGACAGACGAGAGTCGAGAGAGCCGGCTTCTACGGCGCCAGAGCGACATGGCAACTGCGGCCGAGCCTGGCTACGAAACCCGCCGCACTGGGGCTGTGGGGAGCGCACCGCGTCGAGCGGAGGGTATGCTTCTTGGCACTTGCCGGGGCCGCACTGTGAACATCATGAACCTCAGCGACATTTCCTCCGACCCTTAAACAAATAAACTGCCACAGGAACTCCTCTTCTCATGCGCATGCACCAAACGGACATCACATCTACGCCGTATATTTCGTCAAAGCACTCTGGTCGGCTGCAGCTGCGCCAGGATCAGTTGCTGCGACAGCATTGCGGCATCAAGCGATGCACGTTATACACGTCACAGGGTATGTGAGTTCCAACCTCTACGAACTGCCACATCATGGCTTAATCACTGCTTGTCGCGGGCCTACACCTCGGGTTTGCTGGTGCTTAACCGATGCATCATTCGATCGTTTTCGAGCCTCAGGAATCACAGATGAAACAAGGCTAACGGCACTTGTCCATGCCACCACCAGCACGCAGCGGCTTGAACCCCATGCTGTGCCTTGCCTTTGCTCATGCCCTTTCGGTGTTGCTTGCGAGCCTGCCTGACCGAGGGCAGAGCCCACTTAACCCTTTGAAGCCTTCCAAAAAGTGAGTCAGGAGACCTGGGCATGTCGACCTCCACCAGAAGATTGCGCAGCTTGGCACGAAAGGCGCCCTCGTCTTTCTCTTCGGGATTGCACGCAGCATTACAAAAAAAGAAACGTTGCAAAAAAACTGCACATTGCTACCAGGCAACCCACACGCTCAATGTTAGTGGATTTGCATGTGCTCCCAAGAAGATTGCATCCTTGAGCAAATACTCCTTGGTGCACCAGTTGTCAATACAATGCAGTACTGCAACCCGTCCGATTATCCTGCACCTCCATGCCGCACAGGATCGTAGAAAGAGTCGCCGCGGCTTCCAAGTGAAATGCGATTATCCTGCATCCCCTTAGCTGGTGAAGCTCACGGATCCGGAGCCTCGTGGCTTGCATAGCCGAAACCTTATGAACCTCCGTTCTCGTCGCCCTGAACCATCCCACGTCAGTTGACAGCGCTTCTTGCATCACTTTGCATAAGGCATAAGGCCAACAGAGGGCCTGAAAACAGCAAGTGGAAGGTGAGATCATCTGCTTCACCGTGGATCAGAAACCGGAAGCATTCATGATGCACGAATGGGTCCGTGCCGGGGGACATGGACGTATCCATTCTTCCTCAGCTCCAGCTCGACTCCAGAAATGCGCGCTGGCGTGGTCTGCAAGCGGGCCAGCCGACTCTTTGCTGTCGAAATGCTTCAAAAGAATCGCAGCATAGCCCCTCGTTTCAAGGCCAGCGCTTTCGTTCAGAACATGAAGGACCTGCTTGGGACGACATCCGTCACGTGTTTCCGGTACTCGCTAGCCGATACACAGTTGGCAGTACAAACGCTTGAACTTCGAAAGCCGCCCTAGTCGTGAGCAAGCTAGGGAATGAGTGTTCGATAACCCTGCTCGGGCTACACCATCCGTCGCATGCAAAGGCATACATGTGTTCATCTGGCCAGCGCTTGCTCGCACGATTGTCTCTGTCCTCTCTAGTGTCTTTCCTTCCAAAATCTGGGAAAGTCTTGACTCTCAAACGCTGGCACATGCTGCTGATCGTAGTGGTTGTCAGTCGTTGCACTTCTTGCCGATCCTTTGGTTTGCTTGGCCCTGGCGGACGGTGAAGGGAACCGCTTGGCTGTAATCCTGTACTGCTGTACGGTTCAATGCTGTGTACCTGACCGCTGAAAGGCCCAGCCGCCTATCCTCACAAACCCCGCAAATGCCGGTGTTGACCCCTGACGCGGCATGCTGTGTCCCAGCTTAAGTTCAAAGCCTTGCGGCTTCCACACAAGTGCCTGGTCTTGGTGCACTGCATAGCTGCAGTTAGATGTGAGAAGCGCCAGCGCTTTCCATTCCAGCGGCACATAAGTTTCCTTGCGGGATCTATCATGCCGAATCGCATTGTGTGCATCACCACAGTCGTTCTGACAAACTGCAACGGTAAGCAAAAAGTCACTTGTGCTAGCAAGTCTCAGCTAAGGAGAGGTATCCTGCAAGATCGTTCGTTTTGCCAGTCTGCAAGTTTACGTCGGAAAGGGGAAGGGCCGTGTGATCCTTCTTCGCCCTCTTCTCGTCGTTTGTGAAATGACCCGATGGATCCTCGACCAGGTCGCCCAGATCGAAGTCCTCTCCGGAGAAGTCGCTGGTGTCGGCAAAGACTTGGTGCAGAAAGCGCTTGGCTCCGTCGAACCAGTCCTGAAGCCTTCCGGTACCCGGATTGAGGTCGGACATGGACAGCTCCTGGTTGGTAGTCTGCGGGCTCGGAAAAATGGGAGCAAGCCTCATGGCCAAGTCATTGGCCTTGCCAAGCAAGCCAGGCCGGCTGCTGAGAACGAAGGCAGAGACCAGACCGCCCAAATGACGAATCGAGGTCTCGAAATAATTCACATTCAAGTTTTTGTTGAAGTCCAGGTGGCTCTCCGCCCAATCGGCGGCACGGTCGAACTCCTCATGAAAGCCCATGAGCCAGAGAGTGTCAAGCGAATCCACCAAAGTTTGACCCAGTCCGCCCCAACTGTCAGTTCCACGGCCGGAAACGGGCTTCAGCTCATCTTTCCCAAAGGCACGCTGCTCGTAGTTCGACCAGACATGCCTCATCATCGCTCGGGCCTGGCGCTGTGCCAACGCGGCCTCTTCCCTCAAATACGCGTATGCCTGGTGTTTCCACACCTCCGTTGGCCTGGGGCCCGGGCCGCCCGGGCCGTCGCGGCCTCGCGTGCAGCGCACTGCCCGGGAGAGCAGGGGGCAGCGCCCGCAAGCAATCGAGGCAAAGGCTTGCAGCTGCGATACTGAAAAAGATGCCAGGGTCTGCTTGTCCCATAGCTTTGTCAACGCATGTGGTGATTGAGGCCCTCCGGTCTCACACCCTGTGGCTGTCAAAGGACCCAAGATCAACAGAACCGACGCCCAGCAACGGCCAGCGACGCCGTTCCTCATGGCCAGGTGCGCTGCAGAGCATTGGCAGCATCTGACCAAGCCACTTAGCAATGCGAGTCTTACAGCAAGCTTGCAAAATCTAGCGCGTGTGATTCCTACACTCACTCTATGGCTGCACCGGTACAAAGCATGCAAAATAGTCAAGGGGTCTACCATGAACCCTGGTAAAGCGGATCAGAAGACGACGCTCGCATACTTACAGAACTGCTGCAAAGCTCTTGGCGCACGAATCCCTGCCAGACCAGGCATGATCAAAGCAAATTTTTGGGACGTGTCGAACCTATGCTAGCTTAGACCGCTTTCACTGCGCTTACACGCAACCTGTCCCGGATGTTCTGGGACAGTGCTGCAGCAAGCCAGGGGAATTCAGGCTATCTTCCAGGACACGATGCCGTCCCAAGCGATTCCCGCAAGCCGAAGTTTCACGAATTCCTGCTGTAAGACGGACAAGGCTTGTGGATCGTGTTGGGGCATCATGCCTCTCGGAGAAGCTCGGTGAATCTGGTGCAAAGGCCACGGCTCTGTGCAAGCTGCAGGCATGCGACTTTCTGGATTTCGGGAGACACCAGAACGCGGGTTCGCAAGAAAAGGGCGCTGAAGATGGCACAAATCCGCAACCTGACTGCTCCCATCGCGTTCACGTCCGGCCGCTGAAGAGGGTCTGAAGCGGCATCAGGTGCCCTCCGGCACCTCAAAAAGCAGAGCAAGAAACAAAGGGCTCTGGGCCCTAGGCCGTATACATTGAAGCGACACGTACTTAGACGTACTTGTTGCAGCCTGCACAGGCTCCGAGTTCACCTTCCCAAGGCCAGGAAACCAACAGTACAATCGAATCAGAAGTTGCAGCCGGCCTTCTTGGAACCTGCGGCTTGCGCAAGACACTCCTGCAGTCACAACACTTGAGCATTGGCCCTTCTTATGGATGAGAACCAACTCCACGAACTTACGTAGAACCATCAGCGCGTCGCACTAGAGCACCAAAGCCGGCAATCGATCGTTTGTCACGACAAACTCATCGTCTGGAGCTAGTCAGCTGCTTGACTTTACCGGAACTTACGCGACGTGCGAATCCGGGCCTGCAAGAAAGTCGCCTGAACCTCCCAATACCTGAGCAGCAGTCGACACTGATGACGCTTGTTGAGACCGTCGTCATCCTCCGTGCAGCCGAAGCCACTCCTCGCCACCCTTCTCCCACGTATCGTTGTGGTGACCCTCTGGAAACACCTGAAACTCAAGGCCGGCACGTGCGAGCTGGCATACCGCATGAAAGATCTGAGTTGCGAACCACCTGCCGCTTCAGCCTGCGCGACGCACTGCAATGCGAGGCAGTGAGGCAGCGCCAGGGTCCTGACCCGCCAAGACGAAGCCGTGCCTTGACTTTTCTGCTCGCGCATGCAGAAGTCGAGAGTGGGAAGGAGGGATCATCTCATCCTCAGGCTCATCTCACCGTGAGATATGGACCGTTGAAGCAGTGAAGCCATCTGAAGCATCTGAAGGAGGCTCCTTTTCCCCTGTGAGGAACAACATTGGTACCTGTCGCAGCTCTGCTCAGAGCCTGGGAGCCACTCCATTCTCTGCAGGAGGCCTCGAGGTCCGGAACTCTCTGGATGCTTTCCTGCGCGGAAGGAAGGCTCGCGTTTCGCTGCATTGGCTTTCCGTGAGACTGCACTGCAGTTGAGAGGCCCATTTTATTCGAAGAAACCGCTTTTTCAGGCTTTCCTGACAACAGAATCGGCTGTCGCAGGTTCAGCTTAAGCGTGTTCTGACCAATGCCACAAGGCATCGAATGCCAAAATGGGAAACAGCGCATTGACCTCATGTTAGTGTGATGTCTTGACGAGGTCCAAGGATGTCCAAGGCAGCCCAACCGAAATCACACTCAGAGCCTGGCAACGTCACTAATGGATGTAAACCTCCCAGTGTCGCTGAGACTTGGAGCAATGTCTGCTAGGTGGCTAGGCACAACAGACCAAGTCTCCGACGTGTTCTCTAAGATGAGACCTCTTGGGAACGGCCTTAGCCGAATCATGGCGGGACGGACAGCGCCCCTGCTCGAACGTCGGCTTTCGAAGATCTCCGAGGTAGCGACTGTTGCGCACGCTTCTGGAGCTCAGAAGCAAGTGCTATGGTAACTGCCTCGGTTTGTGGAATTCCAGGCTGCGTGATTTTTTTGACACTCACTCTTGGACCAAGCCTGGCAAGGACTGCAGTTGTAGGTACGACGAGCTTACGTGAATTGATTCAGCAGGTAGGTTCAACCAGTGAAGTGCTGTCAGAAAGAACAGCGCTTCCACCACACCAACCAGGACGCGGGATTAAGGTTTTGGCTGTACTCGCCGGAAACCCAAATGCGACACGCAAGCCTTTGATCAATAGCCGTTTGCTGGCTACACCCCCGTGGCACTGGTAGGGTAGATGTGCAGAGGTGCAAAGCCTACACGGATGATGCTGGGACATCGGATTCGAGAAGCGGCCGTGATGAGGCTTCCTTGCTGAGCCGAGCCGGCTGGATCGGCAAGCACTTGAAGAGTAGGGGCCGGGCCCCACCAAGAGATCGGCCGAAAACGAAAAGCTGTTCCGCATCTATACCTCACTCGACCCCTGTTAAAAAATAAACACATCTTCCTGATTTTTCTTTTCCTGTCTTGAGACTTTGTGCTGCCGAGGCCGGGGCGCCCTGCACTAGATTCCTGCAGGCTCCAGTGGTTCCATCTAAAGTTGCCTTGAAAGCAAACCGCTGTCATGTTGCACCTTTTGCAGCCACCTCCACGCACACAAGGCATCCTCAAAGGCTACACATCAACAGCACACAGGTCAGTCATACCAGAAAGGAAAGATTCACCGGCGATCCCAGCGAGGCCTCGATGAGACCCTCCTCGGAAGGAGTTCCTGGCCAACACCGACGTATGTGGTTCCGAATCCGAGATCTTGACGAACGGACCGATGCCTTCACTTTGACCATATCCCCGATAGTCAAGGGCAAATACCTTAACGGGGCCAAGCCGATGTGACGCAGATTGCCGCGGCAGAAACGTGGCTTGACCGAGCTGGCCGCATTCACCTGCAGCCGTTTGATGAGATGCTCGAAGTTTGGAATACGAAGACCAATATTCCTGCGGGTAGCAGAGCAGAGCTTCCCCCTTTTGGAGAAATGCCAAACTCCACATCAGTCCCGGCATTTGCGTGGCAGAACAGCAGCGTCGGTGCAGACCGAGTTGCCTGAGGTGCTTAGAGACACTCCTAGTCGCCTACTGCGAGCACTGCATTTCACATACGGCAACGCGAAGGAGGACGTGTGCCCGAGTGGAGCTTAGAAGCGATGCCCAGCTGCTCGACGCAGCTACTGGGGCCGGAGGGAGGGGAGGCCGAGGGGGCCATGGAGGACCCACGCACGGCTGCATGCACGTGGTTGCCTGCATGACTGCTACAGCATAAGGAAACAGTGTGTCATCTGGGCCTGCAGATCTCTGGAGACACTTCCAGTACCGGTTGCTGACACATTGTCGGAGGCGGAGCAGGACGAGGCGGAATCTGTGCGAACCGAACCGAGAAGCTGGTGCGTTCCTCTGGCACCAGACAGCTTGGGAGGGAGAGAGATAGAGAGAGACAGAGAGAAGGAGAGAGAGAGCGAGAGAGAGTTTGAGAGAGAGAGAGAAGGAGAGCGAGAGAGGGAGAGCGAGAGAGGGAGAGCCAGAGAGCGGGAGAGCGGGACCTTGCCCCCCTTTGCGAGCTATGGCTAGCCCGAGAGCTAAGCTGGGGACTGCATCATCTCCGGCTGGCAAGAACCAGGCATGAATTCGCCTTGGCTCCGATGTGACATCAACATAAGACCCGGAGCTTCGCCAAGATTGAACTCCGGGGAATCTGCAAGCCATCAACTGTCTCCAGAAAGACCTCATGGGACAGGCCACTTCAGTCTCGTGCCACTTGTGGAGTGAGTATATTGGGGAGGGACATCTTCGAACTTCATCTGCCTGTCAGCCTCAGGAGCTTCGAACGTGCAAGATTGAACTACGATGACACCCCGAGTAAGCTTTGCACAGGGCTGCGCATGCCTTCTGGGTTATCGCCTCAGGGACCAACCACATTACGCATCTAGTTCTAATCGAACGTCATCTTCAATGGTGCCAAGCCACTTGGGGTCTGCATTCCCGGCATAACACAGGGCACATAGAGCATGGACTCCTGACCCGTCCCTCTCTCCGTGGTAAATGCTCGACGGAATTCGACACCGACTGAATCCTGACGCATGATTAAGTTCAACACGAAGAACAGGAGGAGCGCAACCTCGCATGCACAGCAAGTCAAGCGCAAATCACATGCTGCCGGCCTTGCCTCATCTTGAGCTTTGTGCTCGACTTTTCGGACCAAACCAAAATACAAATACAGTGCACGAGAACGCTGGTTTGGGGCTCCCAGAAGCTCCTTGTTGCTCGTGCCTTCCTCGGACTTGCATGTTAGCTTGCATGCCAGTTCAAGGAAGCTGCACCACACCTGCTTGTGCTCGCGGTTCGACTGTGCTTGCATTTGTCCGTGGGCATGCTTATTGTCTGGCCTTGCTTCATCAGTAGAGATTGAAAGCCTGCCTGCCTGCCGAGCTGAGCAAAAGCCAGGGCTTCAAATGCTCCACATTTGCATGTTCTGTCTTGGAGTTTGTCTCGGATCACCCAGCGAGACAAACAACGGCCACGAAGCAGAAATCGATATGCGAGACACTAGCTCCATCAATTCCTGTGCCCAACTTCGCAAAGCATTGACCTTTCTGGGTCTTGAATGCATCAATCACAATCAACCCTGATTGGGATGGTAACGAGAGCCCAATCGGCCTTGATCACAGTATCAAAGACCAGCTGACACACACACACACACACACAAACGCACACATACACACAGGCAGACGGATTGCAAAGTGGGCGTTCTGAGGATCGGCAGTTGTAAAGCGGTGATTCTCACACCGAAAGGAGTGTCTGTGGTCGTAACTTGTTACAAAACAAAGATTCTTGTTGCAAAGCAGGCCAATCTTCCCTTATCCCCCCAAACAAACACCAATGAATCAAGGGCTATCAATGTAGTCTACGTCAAGGCACTACGATGACAACGGCGACGATCCAAGAGCAGTTCAGTAAGAGGACCAGTGCCAGGCCAACGACCAACTCAGTGCAAGGACACTCCGCTCGAGCTATGCTGAGGTGAAGGAGCGGTTGCACAGTGCTGCTGGGACCCGGTACGGGAAGCATGGTGCCGTTGGGGCACCTGCCAAGACGAGTCATGCGTTCCGAAGGCGGACTGCATTCCAGCAGGGCTCAGCAGGGTCTCGCGCTGCTCCGCCGCAGCTCCGTGCCCGACACATCTGATTTGAGCCACTAAACAAACTGCAAGCGAACAAACACACCATTGGAGCTCTTGAGCAGTCGCACGATGCCTCCTGCAGTGCACCGACATGGTGACAGATGAGCATATTTTCGTGCAGCTATTGCTGTTGACGCATTGACCAAGATTGGGAAAGTCTGCAAACGCTTCTTCGTCGATTCGATGCGAAAGTGGCTAAACATGGAAAGCTTATAGGCTTTGGCTTTCCTTCCTGGAACCCAGAAGCAGCCGTTGGAAGAAGAGAAGAGAAACACTGCAAACCTGCTGAGAGATGGCTTGGGAGGCCAGTGGAGCTAACATGACCTTCCAACAGCCGCACCTAAGAAACTCAAGGCTTGTGTGTGGGACATGGCTACATTGGCCACATGCCCAGATGTCAATTTACTTGTCTTGCCATGGCGATTGGAGATTTTGCACTGAGTCAGAGCCAATGTGGCCATCGCCGCCTAGGTTGGCAGCGTCATTTTCGGGCGATGCATGACCTGGCAAGTGACCAGGAAGCGGCTTTGCCAATGCTTCCTCTTGGTTTCATTCCCGCACTTCTGTGCACCTGATTGTTTGGCTGCAGCGGCACAGGCAGCGTTGTGGCGCTGCATGACAAACCTTGGGAGCCAGCTGCACTGCACCTCCCTGCAACCAACAAGCCCCTGCACCTGCGATGCCTGGGCCTGCTAGTTGTCTGGGTCGCGAACTCTTTAAGCAACTCGAACGTGACTTCGTTGCCTTGCATTTTCATGCCCGTATTTCTGTTTGGCTTCCATGGCATGACGACAGAACAAGTCCAGAGTCTGCCTGAAGTTATCTGCCGAACAGCCTGCAGCTGGCACCGACAGAAGGTGTTCAACTTACCTTTTGTCCTGGCCTCGCTGGCCGTGAGTTCCGGGTCCATCGCGGAACGAATGTACTCGCGAGCACAGCCTCATTTGAGATGCAGTGCCACTTTAGATCCATCAACTGTTGCACAAAGCAGGACCACCACCACACAAGATCTAGCCCTGGGATTGTCCGCGGAGATGCGATGGGCGACAACGGAATGTCACAATGCTGGCATCCAGGCATAAGAGTATCTCCAACGCTGTAACCAGCTAACCCCAGTAAATCATGGCTAGGCCCGGCGCCCATCTTCCCCCTACGAGTAGCCACAAGCGAGGCTAAGAACAAGACGCACAAGCTTCCTTTCGAAACGTTCCTAGTCATGGAGCTGCTTAACATATGAGCCGCACGAATACCTCTTGGCCAGCATTGTCGTGGGATTTACCAACCACTCAAGCACTGGCACTTTGCTTGAAACCAGCTCAACAAGCATTCAGGAAAGTGGATTCGGCAGGTAGGTGGACCACTAGAAATGGCGGGCTGAGTAGAAATAGAAAGACACGACACAGACAAAGATCAAGAGCTCTCGAGGGAGAAAGGAGCAGATGCATGGATGCATGGATGCATGGAGGGATGGATGGACGGATGGACGGATAATGGACGGATAATATAGATGGACAACTGAAAAAGATGGACAGATCGGCAGATGGATAGATGGATAATCTAGTGCTTACGTTAAATAAGATAAGAAAGGTTGGGAGTAGGTAAGCTTGACTCATATAAGTAGACGAGACGAGACCAGGTTCGGCTGGATTACATTTACATAGCTTAGGAAGCCTGCGGTAAAACTATCTGGATTTTTTGATTTGGTAAGTATGATTATGTTAGATCGTGCAAAGCTAGAATAGCTTGCGTAGGGTATATACAGGTAAATGACAAATAACACCACTGACAATGACAACAACGAGAAAATCACAGCTACAATTTACTATCATCATCACATCGTGATCATAAAAACGAACCGTTAACAAAAATTCAAAATCAGATACATACATTGACATATACAAGTGGTAAGGAATGTACAGCAAAGTAGGAGCTCTTCCGCCACTCGCATGTCGAGACTGTGCGAATGCATGCCGATGCACAAAGGTGGTACTAGGTGCCATCCATGATGCAGGCTGAAAGGCGATCATGAAGCAAACTCTCTTTGTGCGCAAGGTTAGGTTTCATAGCGACAAGATGACTGAACATGACTGAAACGATGAATGAATAAGGGACACCATCAAGTGCCAGACAGCCGCAAAACACCTTAACCACAAACCGCAAGTTCTACACGTGTGAACTTGCTCGCTCGTCTTCTACAATGATTCTACAAGGTTTTCCTTTACGAACTGACGCCTTCCCTTGTTTGTCAGGTTGAACACTCCACGAAGCGAGCTGGACCACCCTCCGAGCTTCCTGCTTTCCCCTGCTGCATCCTGCTTCAGGCAACCCGACCCCCACCGCAAGCTGAATCGCAAACAAAGCTCCTTCCCACCGGTGGCAGAAACCTCCGCCACGTCACCATGGAGAACCTGAAAGACAAACACCTTCCGACTTGACCAGGCGATGCTCCACAGCACTCTCCGTACGGAAGAATCGCCTGGTACCAGTACATCCTGGGTCCTAGGCCCTTGGAGTCCATGGAGATACAAGCAGGCTTTGAGCAGGCTTTGCCAGTGCTGAGGCTGGCCTCTTCCAGCTGGCTGGCGGGCAGGACTCCCGATTCGTCCTGCTTGCGCAACGCAAGATGTCGGGCTAGCCTGGGCCGAAACCCACTGACGTCACTGTAAGAGGCGGCCTCCCTCGCCGCGACGAAGAGGCGCCACAAGGAGCGATCCTCGGAGCTCAACAAGCAACTGGCTGAAAGACGTCTCGACGCCTCGGCTTCCAACCAGCTGATCTTCAGCCAGTTCCAGGCAGCCTCACGGTGGGAAGTGATCAAGTCATGGGCCCAGTAGCAGCCTCTGGGCCGGCGGCGCTTCACGAAGGATCCGTGGGCGATCAGACCACAAGAGGGCACGGCAAAGGCCCGCCTGCGGAGCCATGGGGCACATGCCAACACTCGAGCAGCCCCTTTGTAGAGCCGAGGCCAAGGCATGACCTTCTCGACATTCGGTACCTGGCACATGCCGAAGCCAATCCCAGGCAGGGCGTGGCCGTTGCTCCTACGCCAAGGGCACGGAGACGCCAAGCTGCAGAAGCGGAGCAGCCGAGAGAAAAGGTGTCCTCAGAAAGCAAAGCTTTGGAAGCAGACACTGCAGCACTAATCCTTCGCGGAACTGCGCAAGGAGATGTTGCAGCTGACCTCAACAAGGCCCAACAAGGCCTTGGCACTAGCCATAAGAACTTCTTGCGGAGCGCACGGTCTTTGCGACCCCCCCCCCCCGCAAATTCGAACTTCCTTTGTGGCGTCTTTGATGTACTGGCAGGGTGCGGGAAGCCGTCAGCGCCGAGGCATCGGCTGTGTGATTGCGTAAGGATTTACCGTCCGCTCGATTTCAAAATGAAACTCCCTGCATCTCTTCTCCACGCAGCTACCGACCCGTGCCAGAGCGATGTGGACTACCATGACTAGCTTTTCCGGCTTCTGCAGCTGGAAGAAACCACATGCTGACCAGTTTCAGCTGCACAGATTCCATCGGATCACCCTGCCAGGGAAAGGTTCAGTACTGCACGGCTTCAAAAATGCGAACTCTGGAAGCCCAGACATGCTGATGCACCCATCTTAGTAAGTACAGGCCATGTTACCCAGCTCTGTGAGGGCATTGCAAGGGTTGCAAAGGCTGTGCTCGCGCACGAAACTGATCTCAAGCTCAACTCAGCCACGACGTCCGCCACCACCTCCTGCGCAGGTCCAAGTTGTGGCAACGGTGGCATCACAGAAGCAGAACACCGACCCGAGGTCCTTGCATTCCTGGTTTTGCTGCTCGATTTGAATGATCTTCTCTAAGACGGACAAGGGCACCATCTTGAAGCAGAATTTGCTTCCGGACTGTAGCCATGGGTAGCAAAGGCAGTCTGTCGCGGCCGGTCTACGGGCTGGATCACCTTGGAGTAACACAAGTCACAAGATGTCACAAGTAACCAAGTGATAACAGTAAAACCGAACAGAAACGGGAGAAACCTTCTTTATGCCAGGCTTCTCTCCAGCATTCGTGAGCACAGTGCCTCTGCCTGTGCTGAAGCATGGCGGACGAGAGCCCAATCTGGGCTGCTCACCTTCGGCCGGAAGGTCTCCCCAAAGAATGCATCACCCGGGACGTGCCCCGTAAGGAGCAGGTAGAGCAAGCAGCCGCAACACCAGACATCGTGCTTCCTTCGCCGACTACGTGATTGCTACAACAACGGATGCTGAACGGATGCTTCGAGCTTGATGCTCCAATTGCCACCATGTTTCGGGCTGCAAAGCTCTTCGACATCTGAACGTGGTGCGATCAGGTCGGCCACTGGTTGCGAACTCCGGGAAAGCCTTCCAGAAAGTCGAGAAATCGATGGCAAGGAGGGAGAAGGCAGGGTGCCGGCGACCCCAAGCCCTGAAATGACCACCTCGGCATCAGCACAGATCTCGACACTCGGTGTCAGCGTAACCGCGTAACGCACCCGCCGGTTTTCTCGCGCTGCGGCCGAGCAGCGTGGGGCGCGCACGCAGCATCCGAGACGGAGGCCAGGCCCACGGTCTCCAAACCGATGTCACCGTGCACGATGCTGTGGGGCTTTAGCTGGTGACAGTAGCTCAAGGTCTCCAAGATCTGCTTGAAAACCTGCAGTTCACAAACACTCGCAGAATTGCAGTGAGTGTGCGGCTACACTGCACCAAGGAGAGTTCACCCGGCAGCCTGTGCCAGCCAGCCCTCAGAAATTCCAGTTCGCATGTCCAAGCGCGTCTGCATGAAATGCAGAAGCCGCACATTGTCCACTATCTCGGAAATTATGTAGATGTCATTGAAGTCCTGCATTTGGCACGGGGTGGGAGCGGTAAGCTCTTGGAACACAAAGGCCATAAGCTTAGGGAAGCATGGTACTACCTTGTAGGATGACCCTATTGGAAGAACAACCTCGCGCGACCGTTCTTTGCCCAGATGCGCTATTCGACCACTTGATCTTGCTAACTTCATGACAAGCTCCCATTGCCGGCTGCTGATACACTGGCGCCATTCTGCATCTGCTTCTAGTCATGTGTATGCCGCAGCTGCAGGTCAACAACGAAACACTCGGCACGAAGGCCGAATTTGCCCATTCCCAGACTCCTCAAAGCTTTCAACCACGCGAGGAAGATGCGGATGCTGCAGGCTTCTCAACACTTCCACTTCGACTCGAAGCTGGTCCTGAAGTCTGAACCGCAATGCTCCACTCTTGAAGAAGATGCCCACATCTGCAGCCAGGATTCTGCCGGGCACGCCAGCTGACTTTTGCGTGTCTGGCTGCACAATCGGTCTTCGAAGCTCAAGCCTTGATCACACACAGAGCCGACCACAAAAAGTGTGACAGGCCTAGACTACGACTGGTGGGAATGCTGCAATGCTCAGCAACGACTCCGGCAGCGATAGTGTTTTGCAAAGGTCGAGCTGGAGAGATGTCGAAAGTTGTCATAACCTCAGCTGGCCACCCTGGCCACACAAGGTCGCTGGCATCTAACCTGTAAATGCAACACGCAAACTAGGGGAGTTCTGAACTTGCACACAGAAGCGATCTTGCACTCGCTTGGCACCAGATCGGACAGTTCGAAGATTCCGCAAATATTTGGGCGGCGCAAAATGATCCCGAAGCATTCGGCATGCTGCCACTGCAAGATCAGTGACTTCCGCTAGCGAGATCGCATCTCCGGAGCCAGACAACCCATATCTGGCCAACACACATCTCCACCATCCCTGGTATGCTTCCTCGTCACCAAGATGTTCTGTCCAGAGGGGTTCATCTTTTGCCTGACCTGAGCTTGATATAGAACGCGCTACAGCACTTGCAAGACTCCGCACTGGTGGGAGGATCACCAAATCGTCCCACAGAGTCTCTGCTTGTCTCGCCATCTCCTTTCCGACCTGCTCTGCAACATGTGGCTCGGAGATGGGCACGCGAAACAACTCGAACAGCGTTGCTTTGATATGGGATTCACCTGCAGGCCCCTGGACATCTGAGCTTACCGGCCCAACACCCCGAGGAGCAATCTCGGGGCTAGGCGGCAGCACTACACATGCAGCACCGGGCGAAAGAGTCCGGTGCTTGTTCGAAGAGGTGTGGAGAATCTTGGCTGAGCCAAAGTGCGGTGGGGAGCTGTTGTCATTACCGAGGAAACAGGACGTCAAGCTCTGGCGTGAATCCAGACCTGACCAACTGCCATTTCTTCCGTCACCTGGTGGATCAGGTGTCCGCGCCATTGGTGAGAGTGGAGCTGCCGATGGCCCAGTCGAGAGGAACGGATCAGGGCACGGAGCTGCTTGCCCAATCAGCTTGCAAGAGCCACTCACTGCTGGAAGACTTTGCAGGCTGCCACTGGGAGTTCGCGTCTCAGATTGTGGGTCCGGCTGAATTATAGGAGATGCTGTAGCACGGGCAGCAGCACGCGCAGTCTCTGCAAGCTCAGTCTTGCAGCATGCCCCTTGCATTGGCGGCCCACCCACAATGCGAACGGGCGTACCGCGGCTGGAGGCCTCTGGATGCTTCGTTGACCACTTCGGAGTTCCCAAAAGGACCGGACTGGCTTGGGCAGAGTTCGAAGATGCCTCCTGAACTCGTGTTGGGCTGCTGCGGCGGGACCCATCCAACAGCACACAAGTGCGCACCGGGCTGTAGACAGTAGCCTGCTGCGCCTGCCTATCAGAGCCTCGGCTGATCTCCACCGGAGAAGCGACGGGGCTTCCACTGGCCGTCTGGCTCTGTGTCGGGCCAGTTGCGCAAGGGTGGGACAATGCCTTGGGGTGGCCAAGATTTCGCCTGACCGACATAGTGTCCATGTGCCGGACGACTGGGATGACGGGACCAGGCTTTGACCTAAGACACACGTCAAGACAACACGGCTCTGCTAGCAAGAAAACAGCAAGCATAGTTGCAACCGGAGTTCGCCCCATGTCCGACAAGAGGACACTGCAGCGGTGCAGCATGCGAGGTGCGCGATGGACTCAAGGACGCAACTCGAGGACTCAACCTGTGCAGCAAAAACATGTGTAGCATGCAGAAACGCATGGAGAATCGCAGGGCCGCAGGGCAGCATGTGCTTCCCGCCCCTGCAATGCATGTGGGCTTCTTTTTCTTCAACAAATCGGACAGCACCATCGTCTTGGAATAAGCTCTCTGCGTCCTTTGCGTTGCAGGGTCCACAGACGCATCGTCGACGTGTCGAAGAGTGAGCACAAGCAACACCCGCGGCTTGCCAGAAATATTCTCCGTTCCACAATGCAACACTCGGCTGTCATACACCACTGCATCCCCTTCTTGCAACAAGGCAATTCGTGAGGCTGCCTTGTTGAGAAAAGAGGTCTTGTCTGCTGAGAATTGTCGGTGGGCTGCCTGTCGATTCGTTTGCAGCAGGAACCGCGTGGGTCCCATGTTCTCGGTCACATCCTGCAGGGCCACGAATGAGGTGAACAAAGCTGGCGAGGGCGACCCAGTGTCGCAATGCAAGCGCTGAGGAATACTATCGGGCATAGCAACCTCAGTCAGCCCGAGTCAGCCCGCATCTTATGCGTGTTCAGATCTAACTCTCGAGCTATCTTCGAAATGCACAAACATAGGAACACGATGGTCGAACCAAGCCAGCAACCATGGCTGTGAACTCCCAGAGCTTTGCGTTAGAGCCCGCCAGGGCTGCCAGCGTACTGCCCACCTGACCATGGAGCACTTCCATGAGGGCGGTTTCGGTGATCTCTGTGCGTGGCAACTGCAGCTCGAAACGGGTCTCCAGCGCAGTCTTTGATGCACGAGTTTCCCGTATGTCCCGCGAAAACAGGGAATACTTCTGGGTCGGGTCATCTTGCACAGCTCTGCAGGCTTTGGAAAGCTCTTCCAACACAAAACCACGGAGGCGCTGGCATGTTTTTGGCGACAAGGCACCTTGAATAGATGCAACTCCTTCTTGCTGAACTGCACGAATACTGTCGGAGCTTGGTGCCAAAGCAACTGTAGGTCCCAGCATCAGTTGCTGAGCAGCTGCTTCATTCGCAGCGGCCGCAACTCCATCCATCACAGCCTCGGAAAGCTCCGCTGCGTCTTGGGTCTGTTCACCTTCTGGCACCATGGCCGCATTCCATGGCAAAAGCGGACGGTCAACGCTGAAGGACGACTCACTGATCCGATTGCTTCTGCGTCGAGGGGGTATTCTCCGGCGACGCACACGCGCGAAAGGCAGCTGCAGCGTCGTCCCGCAAATGACCAGGATACATATCAAAACGACATCCTTCTTCATCGAGGCATGTCACAGCAACGTCTCCCTATCAAGCCCTATCATCACGGACCTCGGGCTGTTAGAGCCTGGTGCTTGCGAGCCTCTACGAAAGCGACCAGAGCAGTTGACGTTGGACCTACGACTACGAGTTTGGGCAACGTATGGCAGCGGCAGCGTCTCTGCAGCCGCTGGCAATGCACGAGTGAACACTGAAGTGTAGAGGCTCTAAACTGACCAAGCCTTTGATGGCTGGGAGGTAGGGCCGCCCCAGGAAACGCAATGCCAACCGCTGGCTGCCTGGCGAGGCCCAACTGCACAGGCCAAGCCTTCATCCCGAGATTCCCACGGCCTGGGTCCCGGGGCATTCGCGGGTTGCACGGTCTGCACCGGAGCTCGCATCACACACTGCACCTGCATTGCAAAGGCAGATGGCGTGGAACAGCCAGATTTGCTTTTGCCACCGAGGCACAGGGTGCACCCCACTCGGCGGAGATTGAGCTCTGGAGCCAGGAGAGGCAGCTCGCACCGAAGGAGCATGTGGCCCCAGTGGGAGGCTCATGCTCCACGCGGTGCGCTGTGGCGACACTGATCGAGCTGTGAAGGTGCCGACGGTGGCCCGCATAGGCACGGGGCTTGCTGCGGCACCTCTCTTGTGATCGCATCCAAGGCTTGGAGCACAAGACGAGACGCAGCTGTCGCGGATCTCAGGGCCCAGCGCGAGTTCGAAGTCAACAGCTGGACGCTGCCTGTGTACAAAGCACCTTAGCCAAGAACACTCGAAGAAGGATCGATCGGTTCATCTCCAGTGTGTTCGGGGGACGCACTATTGGCCACTGCCGCGATGGATTGCACCGGTTGAAAGCGCGGGCTATCCCGCGACGTGACCTGCGGGCCTCAGAAACTCCGAAAGCCCTGCAGGACATGTGGCTGAGGCCTCCACAAAACATGCCATCACTAGAGCAATTCAAGCAGCCCAGTTGCACATGATCGGGGGCATGACACTACTGAAAGAATATGTGAGAAGTGACCCGACGGATTGAATGCAATCGAAGAGTGCACAGTTCAACGCTGCGAGAACCTCGCGTCTACAACTCACCCAGTTCTGTCTGCATCTATAGACTCCCAGACACGCCCTAGAAGGCCGCAATAGAGCAATGATTTGTCTTGCATCTGCCTCCACTTCCCACTGTACAGATGCCAACACTGAGTCGATAAGCTGCAAAGCCTCCTGTCTGAGGTCTGCCAAACGGCATGCGCAGGAAGCCGGCAAGTCACGAAGATCTGCTGGGCGTTCAGCAAATCGAAGAGGACCATTGGAAAAGTTTCTCAAAGCGGCCAGAGTCAATCCGGGCACCGCAGAGGGATTTCTTCGCGGAATGGCCTTCAACGCCACAGGCATGTCCCAGTAGGTCCCTGTGGCTACACGGAACAAGTTGCCCTCCGGCACCGCATCGGCAAACTCTTGAAAGGCATTCCTTGCCCGTTGGAACTTCTCGCTGGGCTGGTCGCTTAAATGCTGAGCCACAGCTCGCACTCGCTGCACACGTGCGCGCCACGGAATACGGCAGTTGCTAGTTGACAGCGCATGCAAGCAAACGAGCGTGTCAATCACTCTGATCAGGTACCACTCTGAAACAGCCAGTCGCGTTTGCCCAACACCTCTGGACCCTTTCTTCCCGTAGTCCACATCAGGCTTTGCCGGGATCCAGTTCGTTAGAGGCAGCAAGTTTGCCTTCAATGCTCTCACGAGACCATGCACACGTTCCCGCCCGCTGACAGAGTCTGGATCAACCCCATGCTCAACGTGAACCGGCTTCCCCAGTTCGACCAACACAGCTGAGTTGAACTGGCAATGCGCCTCGAAGCAGAGATGAAGCGGAACCAGCAAGACTTCATACTCGCTGTGTCGCGCAGCCTGCAAAGCGATTCTTGCAGCTCCTGTGTGAACCTTCCGTATGTAGGGATTTAACTCTCGAGATCCGCCGACAGCTATCCAAAGAGCATGGCCGTAGTCGAGGCATTCGATCATTCTCGTGAATGGCAGCCCTTGGACGACGTGCAGGCACATCTCCACGTGGTTTGTGTACCTCAAGCATAACAAGAGTTCCGGGAACTGACAAACATCCAGACATAACTCTTTGCGTGCACTCGGCTCTAGCATGCTCTAGTGGAAGGGGCCCAATGTCTTTAAAGGGGACCGCCTCCTTCTGTTTTTCTGTTTATCTTGCTTGCTCGGTGCACCTGAGGTCAAGAAGAAGTAGGTCGGCCTCACCCGAGCAATAGCACCAAACTACCACTAGATCTTGAAACGAAGCGAGCAAAATCTTCAACATCTTTCTTCTGACTGCATGGTACGAGAACCAGTTCTGCGTCAAACACAAGCAAGTACGCGGCGAGAGGTACTGAATCAGAAGTCGGTCGAGCAGGCCGGTCGGGTGGTTGGAACAAAAGATAAGTCGCTGATTTCCTGCCATGTTCAAGACCCTGTGCGGGTCGTCGACAGTCACCTCGTGGAAAAAGAGCTTGAACAGGAGGTGGCTCACAATCCGATGGTACAGGTGCCAACCAGCCACACCACCCGTCCACCTTTCCACAAGCCAGCACATGACTTCAAGCACGAGCAAGACCAGAGCAACTGCCAGGTCAAGTGCCTTAGCATCCAGTCGGAAGGATCAGACCAAACTCTAGATTCTGAATTCAACGGAGCCTGATCGCACCTGTCGACCTGACATCTCCTGACTTTCTGTGCAGAGCAGGTGACCTCTAGATTGCGCCGACCTGCCCACAAAGTCCACAGCTTCTGGCGCGGACAGAATTCTTCGGAGGGCCGAGGCGTTGGCCTGGAACCAGAATACATGTGGAGGGTTGGCCTCGATTCGATTCTTGGCTTCTTCGCTGAGAAGCTTTGAGCCGAAAACGCGGGTCTTTGCTAGGCAAACAAGGCTCAGGTCGACGATTCGTCCTAACGCTGCACTCAGCGGATGCTGAGCCTTTTCGCAAAAGCCGGGGCTCAAGCTTCTGGCACTGCAGTTGGGCGTTGGCGACAGAACCCTCCGAAGCCAATCGTGCCACCCGGCACACGTGACTGTTTCTGCATAACTACTTGCATTGCCTTCGTGAGGGTAACGTCAAGCGCACACCTCAAGTCAGGCGATGCGGTGAGACATGGTTCACGCTCAATCGTGCACACTGCATGACGTGCGTTCGTTGTACAATCACTGGTCCCGCCGAGATAGCGGCCTGCCATGGCTGCTCCGGCCACTTGGGCCAGCGAAGCCTTGCATCACGGACTCCCCGTCGTGCTCTTGCACAAAACACATGGGGGACCGCATGGCACTGCACCTGAGCGTGGAGGACGGCCACAACTCTGGCCCCTGGCAGCAGTAACTTTGATTCGCGATGGCGTGCAAAACATGCTCCCTGCCTGCATCTTGACGTGGTGAAGAGTTTTGCATGTGGCCTGGGACAGATTCTCAACTGGGCGTTGCCTCCTCCTGTGCGGTTTTTTAACAGCTTGGCAAAACAGCTTGGCCGCATCATAGCGCATTTTTTTTACTGCAGATTCGATCACGGAAGCTCGGAGACTGCAGTATATATTTGTCGCAGCACTGCGCTGGCCCCCGGATCAGGTGGTGCACGTGAACCACCAGAGTCTGTCGCGGCTTGCACCGCAATGTTGGCATTGGCCAAAGCTCTCCAAATCCGTTCGCATTCGCTTCTGAAGTTGTGTTGCTGGCTCGAAAGCTGTTGTTCGAGCATCATCCGCTGCTCTGTGAGCTTCCTCTCATTCTCCATCTCACTGTCAGCGATTTTCTGCTCCAGCAAAGAGATCCGATTCTGCCTCAATGGCACAGCACTTTGCTCTTGACATCTCTCTTGACCGTACAATAACGCACAAACAAGCAGTACGAAACAGAGTCAAGTGTCAGCTGGGAAAGCTCTTCGGAGGAATGTCGATCAATCCCACTTGCGCTCTTGCACATGTTGGCTTCTGCTGTCGGTTCGGACCGATCACCTCCCGAAGCGACACTCAAAAGGTTCCCCGCTTCTACACTCGCAACAAGCTCAGGAACCGCCTCGAAGCTGAATGACAGAGGCCTCTGCAGCCGCTTGCGCGATCCGAGCCGTGGCCAAAGCTCCTCGGAGCTCGGCAACTTCCTGCAGAAGCTCCGACTCCCGCGCCTGACAAGGAGGCAGATTCTCGTACTCAGCCATACTCAGACTACCCAGTGCCCTTCCGAACAATTATTCGCCCAGAGCTTTGCTAGCGCGTGGTTTCCGACTGGCATCGAAGCAGCATTGGGAGCTGATGCTTATTTACATCAAGCTCGCATGCTACACAACGGGTCATTAACTCAATTCTCAGCTGTAGCCCTGCAAAACATGAATTTGCCCGGCTCTGGTTTGGAAGCCCCAGATGTTCAGCTGGAGTCAACCCAGCAGGTTGGCTAAGTCATCATCATCGATGTCGGACTCCTCACCTGTGGAGCCCGACTGAACTTCCGGCAGGGGATCCTCAGAAAAATCGGGGACTGCTCTGTCAACCTGGTGTGCCGCTTCGTGTGCTCGAGAGCTCTGTGAGAAAGGGATGTTCTCGACAATCTCTTCTGGCAAGTTGTTTGAAGCTGGCTTAGAGAAGGGCTGCGTGACCACTGTGGGCAAGTCCAACTCAGGTGTGAATTCTGCCTGGGCACCGTCAAACACCTGAGATGGTTCGTCAAAGCTGCCACTCTCCTCTGGCTCTGGCTTAGCCTCCTCTAACCGCACATCATGCTGGGCACCATGGCCCTCGTAGCCAATCATGAAGTCTTCCGGCTCTTGCTTCATCGGGCCAGATTCAGCCACGGGCATCTGTGTCACGAACTCGTTCTTCCGCTTTACCAACTCACCTTTAGCCAGCAACTCTTCGACAGAACGTTGCAACGAACAGCGCTTCCACAAGCACTGCACGGCGTCCCGCATGACGTGTTTCTGACAACGTTCTGCAACACGAACCAGAAGGGATGCTCTCAAGAGAGTCATTGGCTGGACTTGGACCAGACTTCCAGATTCCCACAAGAGTGCTGCAAGCTTGATAATCTCGTCCACACGGGATTGGTCATCAGACAAAGATCTGACAAAGTCTTCGTCAGAGGTCACAGCCGCGGTTGCTTGCACTATGGGATGTCCGTCCGCATGCTTCGAGTCTGCAAACAAACTTGAGCTTAGCGATTTTTCGCCCAGCGGCGATCTCGAATAGTCCTCCGCGTGCGCTGCTACCGCAGAATACGATGCAAATGCGTCTTCGGGTTCTTGCCTGTGCCTGACCACACCCCCTGGCCAGGCTGTCGACATCTGCAACCCCTGCGGACTTGCAACTACCGGTGTCGAGACATTTTGCAGTGTTAAGACGACCTTCGTCTGCAGTTCATCGAAGCGCTTTCGTCGAACGTATGTTTCCCAGCGCCGCAAGGCAAAGCGGAGCTGCAAACCCACGACAGAGGCCAATGCTTGCACCCCAGCACCACAGGAGTCAGACGAGTGCCGGCTGTCGATGCTGCTTAACGGCCTAGCCACATGTAGCACAGGCCTTGAAGGCTGTGGCCTACTGTCCCGTGGCAAAGCTGTGGGTGAAGCATCTCTCGATGGCTCATCGGAAGCAGCTGCAGACCTGACTGGGCTAGCGATCTCATCAAGTTTATTCAAGACTTGCTGCTGCCTTCGCTTTGCCCACTGGCTGCAAATTTTCCCAACTTGAATCGCCAAGTATGAATAGTTTTTTGTTGATGACATGAGGCCGATCCATGTCCGCGGAATGTGATCCTGAGACAACAACTCGCTGCAACCTCAATATGCATGGTTCCGGTTTGTCTGCAGGCATGTTGAACAAAGCACTTAATTAGACTTTAACAATACTACAGAAGTCTGTCGATGCACTGTGCTGCCAATGTCACAGTCGACCGATTTCAATGCAAAAGAGCCCGAGGCTGCAGTCTAAAAACTTGCCTCAGCCGCACGACTTGCCCAAAATGGTACTGCATTGGACTGGTGGACTGGACGTACTGGCATGGTTGGGCAGGGAGGATCTCTTAACATGCTTTTGCCACTTCGTTCCGATTGACCCTGCCTTAAAGCAGACCCATCACCTTATCACCCCAAATAGTGACTCAACTCAGAAATCCTTGCGTTCTTTGGGGTGTCTCGGCAACCGACACGTGCCTGCCTCGAAACGTATCCGCAAAGCCGCTAACTCATCCTGTAGAGCATTTGGAGTCTCTCTCTGTCTATCCTCCACTTGCACTGCAGTTCAATACAATCAATAGATGCCAGAACCGATGCAGTCTGACATGCAGCCTTCATGGCTGAAGAATCAGACGCGCAAGCTCTTGGAGCACTCATTGGCGACGTTGGCTCGGATGTCGAAGCCTGAATGCAGGCTCGTCCAAGCAATGTCTTGCTAGAACTGTCGCGGGCCGAATGAGCTGAGCAACGGGTGAAAAAAAAGATGTTGATGTGCAATCTTGACGGGATGGTGGTTGATCCTTGGCTCCCAGCATCATGCGACAAGAACTGTTGAGAACAGAGTTGCCAGCAAATGGACGCACAAGAACATCAAAGCCGAGGCTCCTGTTGTGATAGGGTTGGTTTCAAAGCCTGGGCAAGGGCCAAGGCGCTCACTGTTGATGTTGATGGTGGTGCGCAACCTCGTCCTCGACCTCTGCTTGACGGAAACATCTTCACATCATCACATGTTCCATCAAGCGAACATGAAATTTGGCCTGCTGTCGCTGACGGGTTGGGGACCTGCGCGTCAGCTCACTCCGGGTCCCAAACGCGGAATCATATGCGTTGGGTGCGCCTCGCGGCGACTGCATGTTGCGGAGGAAGAACGCCGACCTCCCGATGCGACAGAACGCAATCTCGTGTTCATCCAACACAGCCCAGGCGGACCTGCCACAGATCGATTGCTCCGGTTGGATGCATGATCAGTTGGCGCCGGAAGTTGTTTCCCACCCTTCACGGATGTGTATGGACGAGATGCCTGGCGGGCAACCACGCCATGTCTGGCTCTAGAGCAACCTTCAAAGCCCAAAACATCCAAAAACCAAAATCAGAAACGACATTGCCGTGTTCGGCATCCTTCTTGTCCGCAGTTGTCGGCACAGGGTCTGCTACAGGTTTTCCAACCTGACAATGGCTTCCGTGTGCAGTGGGCATTCAGTGCATTGCTGCGGCATACAATCGAACTCGAACTGTTTGATACCACTGACACGAATTCGTGCGGGAGCCTTCTTTGCGGAGGCGCATGGCTTGAATGCATTCATGGGAACACATGGCTGATACGCTCTCGTGCTGGGTTTATGCCGTCGCGATTGCTAGGGCTCGATTCACCAACGATCCAATCAAGACTGCTACTGAATGCTACTTTTGCTTCTGTTGTACCGGCACACCAGTTGTTAGTCCAGGATGACCTAGAACTTCGTGACAAGCTTATTTGCAAAGTTGCTGTTGCGAAAATGGTACCATGAAACACAGCCATAAACTTGGAAATGCATCCGAAACACAGGCGATTGCTTGCCACTGGGATGTCAATGGTCTCGGGAACTTGCTGTGAACATGCTTCATGGCCATGACGCTGTTGTCAACGCAATGCAAACATCCCAAAACAGCGCCTCGTTCAGGAGCCTGTGCCACATGTGATGAACGCATCCAAGCTCCACCCTGACTGTTGGCCGGCCTTCTCGTTCGCAGAACAAGCTCACCATGGCGGTATGCTGCGGCAACGCATGTCTGCTGGGATTCATGCTCTGCTGACTCTGCTGCATGTACATAAACTTCTGCTGACTGGAAGATGCCAATCTTCGTCGCTGGGGGTGATGCTCTGATATTGTTTCGAGCCTGGCAGCGTGGTCCACATCTCACAAACACACACGAACAAACCCATATTGATTTGGTTGCCAGCCACTCGGTCACGACGCTTGAATCTGAACCCTGCTTCCGTTTGAAGGAGTTCGCTAAAAGTTCCTGGCTCCCCGTCGCGTACGTGTAGTGTTCGGAAGCCGCCACAATAGCACTTGCAAATATCGCGACACGTTTCCTGCACACATCGCGCTGATGAGAAGCGTTGCTTAAAAGTTCTGCAGTCCTACGTTCTCCGGGTTTGCGTGCCTTCTCTTCAGCGCCTGTTCCGCACAAGGTGAGACCGCTTCGATTGCGAGGGGTGGGGGGGGTTGTTGTTCGTGGATTTGGGGAACAACAACCCCCCCCACCCCGTGGGAGGAGGAGCGGGGAGGGGGGGGGGTTGAACAACAAGGGGGCGGGGGGTTGTTGTTCATGGATTTGGGGAACAACAACCCCCTTGTTGTTCCCATTTTGAAAGAACAATAAGCCCCCCCCCCCTTGTTGTTCCCCTTTCGAGAGAACAATAAGCCCCCCCCTGTCCCCCCTTGTTGTTCCCCTTTTGAAGGAACAGTAAGCCCCCCCCCTTGTTGTTCGCCTTTTGAAGGAACAATAAGCCCCCCGGGCCATGTTGTTCCCCTTTTGCAGGAAAAATAAGCCCCCCCCTCGCTCAAAATGGGAACAACAAGGGGGGGGTTGTTGTTCCCCAAATCCATGAACAACAACCCCCCCACCCCTCTATCGAAGCGGTCTGCACAAGGTGCAGACTTTTTTTTTTTTTCTACGCACCTTTTTGCAACCGTCTGCAAAGGCGCGGTCCCTTTGCCCACACGGCCTACGGAAGGACTCACGCAGCACGGCTGGGCACGCGACTGCACTCAAGCGATTCGTGCCAGCGCAAGTCAGCGAGCAGCTCGTGCAAAGCGGGTTCGGCCCCTCCACCAGTGCACTCGTTGGCGAGAGGGAGGTGTAGCAAGGAGGCGGCAAGCGCGCGCTGGGCAGCGACAGCAAGGATTCCGCTCCACCTCAGGACCCATGCGGCTTGAGCAGCGGGCCGAAGGATGGCAGGCACACTCGCAGCGCGTGCACGCGCAAGCAAGCGGACGAAAGTGGCGGCCTCAGGTGCCCACCGGCCCCCAACCTCGATGCCGAAGACGACCAGGCGGCACCGGCGTGCCGTGCTGAGCTCCGGGTAGGTTTGTCGGCGTTTGCGCCTGGCTGCAATCGCAAGGACAACACCAGCTCGGGCATGGGACCGCTCCCGGGGCTCCCCATCACGCCCGACTGGGCTGACGATAGTGGCATCAACTGCGAGCTGGTGTCCATGCCAAAGCGGAAGCCCATTGCAGACAACTTCGATGCGGCGTGCATCGTGCACGGGAACATCAAGGTTCATGTCGGCGAGACGCACATTGATGGCCACCCGTGCTCCCGCTTCGCGGCATACTCTCGCAAGAGCGCGCTCCAAGGGGATGGCGCGCGCAGCGAGGGCCTCGGATGTCGCGCATGCGGCACGGTGGTCTCCCAAGGCATCGAGGTGCCCCCGGCAGCTGCAAGCGCTGGGCACGAGGGGGAGTGGCAAGCGGAGGCGTCGCAACAGCATCACCCGGAAGAGGTCACTAGGAATGGCGACATCAGACTTGCCCGAACCCAAAACACATGCGAATGCGAAACACGGTATCTCATTTTTATCGCACGTACATACCCGCTGCAAGAATACAAAAAAAAGCCGTCGCTGCGTACGCCTGCGAATCTGAGTGGTCCGTGCCCACGCGTCCGTCACACCATGAGGCCCAGCATGCGACACGGGAATCCAAGCCCGGGATTGGAAGAAAAGCCAGCGGCCTGGGGATGCGGCTTAGGCAATTACGTTTTGCATCGTTTTGCTCTCGAATCGCTACAACAAATATCTCACCGCGCAATAAATGTTTTCGTTAACGAAAGTCGAAGATGCGTCGCAGCACTTGAGGGCCCCGGCGGAGAAGCTACATGCCTTCGCGAAGCGGCGGCGGCGCGGATTCTTTCAGGGTGGGCCGATACAACTTTCTGTTGGACCTGTCAACTGCGACGACCTTTTGCTGCTGCCGGGCTGGTACATCGGTGGCTCGCGAAGTGATCCGCTGCTTCGGATGATAATGGATAGTTAGAGATTAGAGGCACATTGCTTTGTAGGGCATATCGACGTCAGCATATAAAAGTCCTTACCAACCTTTTTGCTCTTGCATCACTGGTCTGATGTCGTCCACGGCGGTGCAGGCCTCAGCGTAAGGCTTCCATGTGCGATTCTTTTTGGGTAGAATTGGTCCAGGTTCAAAACAAAGGGCGCACCAATCTAGGGGCATTACGAGTTACCAATACTAGTTGGGGGGTTCCTTATAGTTATAGTGTAATCGGCCCCAATGCCCTAGGCCCTTATATTAATATTATGCAGTATGCCATAGCCTACTTAAAGGATCATGACGAAGTACCCAGGGACTAAGTCCCTCATCTTCCAAGTACACGAACCCGAGGTCTGTAAGGCGCACGTGGTGGGTCCAAGCGCAGGGTGCCGTTTGCTGCCAAGGGCGGGATGGAGCTGAGCCAAGAGACCTCTTCTCAAGTTGAAGGGCGTGCAAAGGTTTGTAGGTCTACAGGGCTTTGTGCGATTTGTCGAGTTTGCGGTCTAGGGAACTCTTTTCGATAATGCCCAGACGTCCCAACCTGGATCACAGTTGCTTTGGCTCTCTTGCGCCAGCAAACAAGACAGACCGAGCGAGCGAGAGCAAGAGAGCGACAGGTCACACGCGTCTCAAGTGATCATCCTGCACGCTGGTATGGGAGTTTCCGAAAATAGGGGACCATAATATAGTATCCTAAATAGTAGGATCCTTAGTATAAGGACCCCAAAATAAGGTACCTGCAAGCTGCTGGGATCGTCGGGGACCCCCTGGAGGCTGAGAACCTAGAGGGAACTCCAGAAAGTTGGAATATGGTTTCAGGGTAGGATACCTTATAATTTACCATGAAGGGTTTAGGATAATCATATTCCAACTTTCTGGCTTTCAGTTTATGATGGGAAGCCAAATTGGGGGGTTTAAGATTCTTGGGGTAGGGGGATTCCTTAATATGAACCCTATTATGGGAACCCTAAGCCCTACTAAACCCCCATAGGCTAAAACCCCTTTTGGCCTCCTATGAACCTTTCACCAATGTGGGGGTTTCCGACAATAGGGCACCCTAATATAGTACCCTAAGTAGTAGGATCCTTATTATATAAGACCCCCAATAAGGTACCCCTAGTTTTCGGAAAGCCCCATGTCTGCCACGACTTCCGCAGTGCCCCGAAGCCTTCAAGCCTTGCCAGCTCTAACCGGAAGCTCCTACTATTGGGGCCTTAATAATTAGAATAGGGTTCCTTTTAAAGGGTCCTTAAAAAGGGATCTACAGGGGTCACTACAATGGGTAGTATAAGTTTAAGGGTTTTTGTATATATAGGGGCCTTAACAATTAGAATAGGGTTTTGGGGCCCATTGTACTGTAATTATGAGAAGGAGCCCCCAAAATAGTATCGGTAATCATTAAGGCCCGTATATTACCAAAGCAACTCTTGAACCACAACTCAAGAAAAAGCCGTCGCTAAGGCAGCTGCAAGGCGCTGTTGGCCACGCTTGAGTTTGGCCGAAGGCTGCCTTTCCATATAAGGTTTAGGATTTCGGGGTTCGGGGTTCGGGGTTTTGGTGTTTATGGTTTTTGGGGGGTTTAGGGTTTTATAGGGTTTGCTACTTTCCGCAAAGACCGAGCTTTCGAAGGCTGAGCTACTCTACTTGGAGGATCGTGGGACTCAGTAAGTAAGGTTTTCAAGTACCTTAATTGGGGTTTATAAGTTTAGTTATAAGTATAGTTGCCGTATTTATAATCCCACTTACTAAGTCCCATGATCCTTCAAGTAAGAAGGCAACAAGAAGCCAAGGCCGCGGCCTTTTCGAGCGCTTCTTGCGCTTGCTCCGAAGCTTCCCGCCTTCCGAGCCTTTGGTGCATGGTTAGCTTTCACAGTCTCATGCAAGACTTAGGATTTAGGGTTTGGGGGGTTAGGGGTTTAGGGTTTAAGGTTTCGCACTGTGACTGCAGCAGCTAGCAGCTAGCAGACCATTTCCTCGAGAGTCGGGTCGAAACCGAAATCTACATGCAACGGCATGGAGGCTTGCATTCATAGTGATCATCGCAGGGATGCTGCACTCTCGCGCTGTCACTCACGCTCGACGAATCAAGCACAGCAACCCTTACAAATACGCACCTGAGCTGTCGGGGTCGCGCCTCCGGGCAAGCGGCAAGTGTCGGCGCCTGGGTGGCACCTTAGCAGCAGCAGAAGCCCAATGTGTTGAAGCTGTGAAAGTTGCCGAGCCAATGCTTTCGGAGCATCTTTTCCTGCCGTGAGATAGATTTACATAAGTTTCTGGAAACTCCTAATTTCGACGGCATGGCCCCATGATACCCCCAAAACCCCAAATCCCAACTTCCCGAACTGCAGCGCTTGGGCCAAGACGGCGACATTGCACCAGGCCTGGGTCACCATCGTCATCACGAGCATCATCATCATCATCTTCATAGCCTCATCATCCTCATCATCGCCATCATCATCATCATCATCCTCGTCGCCATCTTCGCTACCTGCCTGACTATTGCCAGGGCAGCACTGACTGATGGATGTAAACGGCCTCATATGTCAAAAGCCATCGACAAGAATGCAAAACACCGTTCTGACTCGTTAATGTTGATAGTTGATATATGCAGGATTCAGGGGCTCAGCTTGTGTTTCCTGTAAGCACCTGCTACATAAACGCCTGAACGACTTTAACGCACACCCTGAATCGAGTTACACCAATTATAACCCTACTTATAACCTACTTACTAAGTCCCCTGCCCTTCCAAGTGAGGTTCCAGAGTGGCCTGGATGTGAGGCTTTGTACGCACTGCCGCCGAGGAAGCGGAGCACGTAGGGGACGGCTCTCGCTCCTGACGGCGGGGTCATGCGAAGATGCAAATACTCGAGACTCCTGCCCCGAAGAGTCCTGGCAGCACAGCAGCCAAAACCCTAAGCCCCCGAACCCTTAACCCTAAGCACCGAAACCCTGGTGGCCTCTTGCTGCTCGAGCTCTCGTCTGGAGTCCTGCCAGCAAGTCTAGAGATCAATGGCCGTCCACATAAGGTATTCCCACACAAAGCAGTGAAGCATCAGCATGCAAAGCTTTTTTTTACCTGGTCACCCTCGATACGGCAGCACCTCGTCTATCCTACCCTGCTGGTAGAACGAGTGCATGGCCGACAGCATAAGGCGCTGGATCTCCGCACGCGCATTCGGCTGGCCATCATCGGTCTTCTTGTCATCGTCCTTTGTCTTGTCATGATCTTTCTTCCTGTCTTCGTCCTTCTTGATCTTGCGCATGCGGTTCGTCACCAGGAGCACTCGCCTCAGCAGCGCCTTCCTATTGGCCCGCCGCCAAATCACCACACGCCTGGCGAATTTTCCCGGCCGCCACATGCTCTGCAGGCAGGCTGCTGGGTTGGATGCCAGTTCAAGCTCTGGTTGAACCTGTTGCCAAATGTCAATCTCCGCAGGCTGCTGGAAGCTGGATGCCCTCTTGAGCTCAACCAGGCTGCGATCAAATCAAGTGGATTGGCTGCGATCAAATCAAATGGATTGCACACTCGCAAACTGATCCTGCACAGCAACACTGTCGCCGCCTAGGCTGGAAGGACCACCCCGTAAACCACGAACCCAGCCGGTCCTGCTCCAGCTCCGGTCCGGCAGCTTCATGTGCAGGAGCATCGTGGGCCTAGACCGAAAGGACACAACAACGAAGGAGGCGAGGGAAAGATGCGCCGAGGCCACCACCACCGGCAGTGGCTGCTCCAGCGCCTCATCGGGCAAGCCGGGCACCAGACGCACGGAGAGGCACCCACCGAAAGCCAAGGGCGGGATTGAGGCCAGCACCACATCCTCCGGCTTGCCAGACAGCTTCGTGACCTCAAACACGAAAACAAGAAGGAGAAGACCCCAACCAAGGCAGCAGCATAGCAAGTCCAGGATGTCCAGGGTCCAGGCCGGTGCATGGGATTCATGGGCAGGGGCCTGGCCAAAGAGAAGAGTGGGGTTCGGGGTTCAAGGTTTTGGCTTTGGGGTTCGGGGTTCAGGAGGATCGTTTGGGTGTTGGGCACAATGGTCGGTGCAGGCCGGGGAGGGGGACACTACTGGAAGGTACCACATTAACAGCCAACCCCCTGGAAGCACACACCTTCTGGGCCCTAAGATGCAAAACACAAAGCCCATCAGCTTCTTGCTGTTCGAAGCATACTCCAAGCAGGGACTTAGAACCGTTTTCTCTATGTTGCTTCATTCGTCGTGGCGCAGAATAAGCTTTTAGACTTGCTTTGTACATGCCAGCGCCACTGCCAAAACGAGCGTCACAGAATACACGTGCATGGAATTGCCGAGCTGAGACACACTGTAGTCAAAATTGTCCACGGGCATTGAAGCTGCTGAAGCAACGGCTTGCACTCTGGGCCACCCCATGGCGAGTGCCAACTCACTCTCCAGCATCCATCTCTTCTTTGCAGGGCTCCAAAGAATGTTTCCGCTGGCTCGAAGTGTAGGCATGTAGCGGAAAGTGCCTGGTCTCACAAGCGGGTCCTGCGCCAAGTTCATAAGCAGGTCATCAGGGAACAATGCTGGTGGATGTTCCAAGCCACTGCTCGACGTCCAACGTTGTATGTAGTTCTTGAGGTACTGGCGCTGCTTGTCCGTGAGCAGATAACTCCAATCATCGCTTGCCTTCGTCAGCGGATGCAACCCTCGCTTCTTCCTTGCTTTGTTCTCACACTGCAAACGTTCCTCATCAGACGTTACAGCCATGCATGCGGACACTTGCGAGCACCCAACTCTGTTGTTGATGTATTCCGAAGCTGCATGTAAAACACGCAACATGTCATGCGTGATGACCAAGTCTTTCCGCACCAGTACGGCAAACTGGCGAGGGCGACCAGCGAAGACAAATCCAGCATTGCCAGGCTTGACAGGCAGGATGATGACACTGTACAGCGAACCCACACATGTGGTGATGATAGAGCTATCAAACCCAACCACATTCTCATGTATGGCGACTGCTGGCTGTGCATGCAACAGCCAGCACAGCCACGCCAAGGTAACGTCGCTGCGTCGATCGTTTCCTCCAAGTTTTTTGCCACATCTGGACCATGGTTGGCAAGGAGTTCCTGCCACGTTCAGGGTTGATTTCTTCTGTCTGCACAAACCTCCGTGCGCTCGGCACTTCAGCTTGATGTTCCCCTGCCATGCCGAGCACAAAGCCTCCCACCGCTCCTGAATTGTCGGAGCCGGCCCCAACTTGGAATCCCAGCTGGCGGGAACAGACTCAAAGATGTCCATGAAAATGCAACAGTCATCTGGGACTTTCTTCTTCAAAATGTCAATGCATTTCGCGTTGATCTCACAAACCGAAGCCTGCTGCCACTGTTTGGGCCATCCCAGCACAGCCTCCAGCGAAGCTTCAAGGACATGGTAAGCTTGCTCTGCGGAGGCGATGCCGGAGCACTGGGAAGAGAACAAATGCAGCCAGTTCAAAGAGCTCTGTCTCCTCAGATATTGCTCGGCATGCTAACTCAAGATCTTCGTATCCATACGGGTCCGGGACCCAAAGGCTTACTGACAAGAGTAGACTATCCGACTCATGCTTCACATACCCCTAAATGTTCAATGCAGAGTTGCAAGTGGTGCTCCCCGAAGCTCTGCTGCAAGAACTCCACCATGAAGACTCCAGCACGAAATGCACTGACAAGGGTGCTGATGCGCTCGTCAGTCGCGACGGTATCACCAGCACTACAATCACAATCAGCACCATTCAACTCTGCATCGGGGTCTGTTACGACGGACATGGATGACCCACTTGACATTGACTCTTCGAAGAAGATGCCGCCATCTGCATCGCTGCAGATTTCCTGCTGTAGGCATTCCGAAGACTCAGCTGTGACGACGACATCCATCTCCGTGTTCACGCCATTGACACTGGGATCGATGTCGAGTTCCCACTGGCATCCTTCAGCCGACCCGGTGCTGCTGGCGTCAGAACAGTCGAACACAACACCCTCCATGGGCGCTCGTCACACACTCTGGGGCATCTGGGGCACAGGGCCAAGTTTACCAAGTGAATCATTGGGCTTCCTGCTTTGGGCTTACGGCTGAGAAGGATGACAGGGTATACAGAAAGAAGATGTTAAAAGAAGGCTGTGGACAGATGTGATGTTGCTCGCCATGTCGAGATCATAATGAAGCTGCACCACATGGGAACTCATAAATTTTCAGGCTTTGCTACACAGCCACACTTGTCAGGCCACGCAAAGAACATGAGATAACCCTCCCGCGGCCCGCAAGCCATGCAAAACTAAGCCAGCAAGGTTCCAGAATCCACCCTCTCAACACCATTACTCACGAAGCCGCTTAAAGCCTAAACCTCAGCCGCCTTGTAGAGGGTGCTCCTGTGCAACCTCTGCCGTTCCGATGTCCGCCAACTCTGCCTCCGGACGGTGCAACAGTTCCCCTTCCCCGGTCTGCAGTTATGGGTTTGACAGATTGCAGGCTAGTTTCGGGCTGGTGGTTTTGTTCAGTTTAGGAATTGAAACTGCAAGGTAAGAGGTAGACCTTGGACCTTAGGGAGCCCTCGGGGTGTAGGATTGAAAGATCGGTGTTCAGCTTCATGCTCATTGGGTCAGGGACTTCGGCTTAATTCGAAGAATTCAACCACTTCCGTGGGCATTCAAGCAGAGCGATGTTTTCACCAGCAGACACCCCACTGCTAGCGGCACTTTCTCAACTTTGCTACTGATACTGAATTTAGGTCTCGCCGACCTTCACATTGCTTCCAGGAGCCCAGAGGCGTTGACGCTGGACCTGCCATTTCTTGCCTTCTTCACTGACCAGCCAATCATCCAATCTCGCCTGGATTGTCGATGGAGCTGCTTTGCCAGCGCTCTTTCGCTGAACTGACACACCCATCGGTAATGCTGCCACAACTCCGGAGGCCAAAACCTTCACCCAGGAATCATGGATAGTCTGAGGCACATTGGAAGGAAGCCCACTTGCTAGAGCGTCCTTGGCCAACTGTCGCACGGCTTGGCCGGACTTTGCCCGCTGTAAGACACTGTCAGGCTCGATCAGGGATAAGGCGTCCTGGCCCTGGCATCCATCGAAGAAACTGCTGTGCCAGCGACCCGAGTTCTCAATGCGCGCATGCAGTGCTTGAACCTGACTCAGCTCTTTTGGTCTTGAAGTTTTTTTCAGCCTGGCATGTGTCCTCTCCAGAAGGTGGACAACCGCACGAACGAGAAGCTCATCTCTGCTGTGCCCTGTGACTGAGACATGCGCCTGCTGCAACATCACACGCACCATGAGGGTCTCCTTGCTTCTTTCACACTACTAGGCAGGGCAATAAAAAGCTGAAGTTTCTTGCTGTTGTAAAGAAGGCAAAACAAGTGTAAAGCTCCGTAGTTATTGAATAAGTACAAGTCTCTGGGGAAGCATGCTGATTATCACACCACAGGTTGGACATCATGGAGCCGACCCTTTCCACAGCAGCTTCTGGAGCTGAAAAAAGACGCCAACGATGGTGGACTCTGCAAGCGTGCCAGGAGTGGGGCGAATGCGAGTCTCCGAGGCTGAACCATGGGTCTGTATCCAAAGATGCCGCGATGCATGACGGGTCGACCTTGCGCAAAGGCTCTTCGAGAATGACAAGCTTGCCCTTTAGGTTCCGTGGGGCCTGAAGGACGCCCACTCGACATGAATCTGAACCTGAATCTGCCTCAACATTCATCCGTCTCTTGCTTGTGCAGGGCCCGATGTACTTTCGCACTGCTCGCTCAGAAACCTCGAATCTCCGGGTATCCTGTTTTGTGAGCCGGTGCCCATTCCAAGATCCCAAGAATTGCGAGACTGTGCAGGCAACATAAGCCATTGCTGGGCTGTTGCCAGGCAGACGGAGAGCTTTGCCCAAAGTCCAACGAAGTCCAGGGAAACTGTTCACTGGACTGACCATGTAACCAGAAATGGAGGACCAGCTCATTGCTTTGCGCAAGGTTTGCGCTGGCACGCCACTGTTTCCGTTCATCTCCAAGGTGTCCTCATAGCATTGACCTTACACAGCTGTGCTAGTCTGTGAAGTTTCACGCTCCCGTCTCTAACTGCGGGCTAGGCCCCATTATTATTATTATTATTATTATTATTATTATTATTATTATTATTATTATTATTATTATCATTATTATTATTGTTATTACTATTATAGTGTTATTATTATTATTACCATGCGCTTCTCAGTCTCAGCAAGTGGCGGACTCTGGACACCAGCAGCTCGTATTGCTGCGTGAACTCCCGCTTCTGCAAGGACCATGTCTGGGGCACCTTCTGGAAAGCATCGCCGTGGGGCCATCGACCCTTGGCAAGATAAGGCTTGAACATCTCCACGAGTCGGCCAAATGCTGTTAGGCATGCTCGGGTGGGCGGTTGAGCCAATAAGCTCGTCCAATCAAAAGCCACCTCCCCAGCACGCAGTAGGGAAAGCATGTCGGAATTCATCCCAACATCCGAGAAGATGTCATCCACCTCTTCTTTCGCGTACTTCAAGAATTCCATGAGTGCCTCAATCGCCTGTACACATGCAGCATGAGCTTGGAACACCCCGTTCGGCACCTGGCACCGGCTCCCAAGCCAGTTAGCTCGCGGGAGGCGTGGTCGAAACATGTCTGAGTAGTCCATCCCAAGCACGGAGTTCTTTGTGGTGTCGCGTAGCTGCTGCCTTGGGCAAAAGAAACTGGCATCCTTCTGGATTTCAAGCATGGTCCACAATGGCACACTCACTGTCTTCTGCACGCGACGGCCCCGCCGAAAAACATAGATCTTGGTCTTGACTCTTCTGATCTCCGGCACTGCTCGCCGCCTGGCCCTTCGGCAGTGTTCTTCCGCGGCCAAGCACTGACAATGACCTCCCAAGCTCATCATGCCAGGGGCAAGCTGCGCGTTCAATTGCAGTTTGCAACCCTGAAATTCTGGAGGAATGTTGAACAGCACCTTGCTGGCATGCAAGATAAAGGATCTGACAGGTTTGCCCCACGATGTATATCGACACGCAGACATCAAGCGCGCCAACTCTTTAGAGGACACATATTGTCTGCAGCAGGCCACTGCGCCAAGCATGATTTTGACTTTGGCAAAAGATTCCTGCATTGTCTCCAGAGCAGCTTCCATATTACGTCTGGCTTTCTCTACCACAGATGCCTCTTCCGCTTTCTGGACGATCAGTGCGAAGGGCCGGACAATCTTCAGCAGTGCCACGTCGAACCCGACCAAAAAGAACACGAAGGAGGGCTCTTGAAGACGCCGGCCGACTTCAAAGAGGCTGGTCAGCGAAACATTGCCTTTGCCCTCTTTCTTCCATGCGACTTTACCATGAAGACATAGAAGAACAATCTGGTAGTTCGAAATCAAACCACCTGGAGCTCCGCTCAGGTACACGACCTTCCGGGTCCCTCCGGGGCCCCTCAAACCGGCTCCGGTGGCTCCCACTCTCCTGAACTGCAAGCAGCACAAAGGTTAGCAGCCTTCATGTTGTTTGTTTTTGGCGTCAGTGCTGTCGGGCATGTTCAGGGCTCTTTCTACTTTACGCAAGTGGCGGCCCTCGAGCATTCTACCGTATTGGTGTTTATGGATGCTCTGAAAATCTCTAAGGCCCATGACTATGGATTCCTGGATTGGCACTAAAGAGCTAAATCTGCCGAAGCTCTTGGACGCTGCACGTTTTAACACTTTGCCTTCCCCCACGTTGAACAGTCGATCGCAGGACGCTGCCACGTCGAAGCATTCGCTTGCAGGAGGTGACCGACGAACTGCTCGCATGATTGCATTGTCGATCCTACTCGAAGTGGCTATTGAAGAATAAATACATTGGACTTAAGATTACTCACAAAAAACAAAGCCCTAAATTCCTCGACAGCACCTCTGGCTACTTGTTTAAGACCCCGTGCCTGTGAAAGTCGTCCCAACGTGTGCACACGACCAAAGAGTCGGGCTCAGCCTCTGGATGCACGCGCTGCCAGAGCAACTCGGCGGCACCGCCACTGGAATGTCGGGCTTGCGCACCCCCTTTCACTATTTGCCCGTCACCATCAATCATGGCCAATCGAGCCTTCAAGATGGGCAGATCCAGCATACTGGGATGTTGCGATAGCATCTCCAGAAGCAGTCGTGTCGTCTCAGAGCCGCTGTGGCATCCAATTCCGAGCGTTCGGTAGTCCAGCATCGGGGTTACAAGAGAGCCATCCTCTGCGCTGACGATGGTCAGATTGGCGACTAGGACTGTTTCGTTGCGGGGAAAGGCACTGCACTTTCCTAATGAAACTGGGTCGGCCATGACAGCGAAATCAGATTCAATTCCCAAGCCTCCGAGAACAGAGCACCAATCGTTGGCGTTCATCATATGCAAAACCTGATTTGTCAAGTATTCTACCTCCACGCAGAACTTGCGTGAGTGGCACATCGCGCCGTCCACATCCACGCCACAAAGCCGGAGCCGTGCCACTTCACGCTCGAAGGATGTTCTCGACTGCCCTTCCACAGCACAGCCGATGGCAGTTCGGACGCAAACCGTGGCGCTCTTCCTCCACCGGGATTCCTCCGTATCCACAGTGTGCGATGGCCTGCTTGGCTGCCACCGGGATTCCTCCGTATCCACCGTGTGCGATGGCTTGCTTGGCTGCAGTTTCCGCTCTGGATGTAATGGTTCACGATGAATGGGCGTCCAACCATTGGCTTCCACATCCCTCCAGCATCTTGAAACTGTTTGCCGTGACAGTCCCAGCAGGTTAGCTGCCAGCACTTCTGTGTATGACTTGCCAGTGCTGCCCTTGATGTCAGTAAACCCGCAGAGCATATCCTTTGTCAGCTGCTTCGGAAGCTTCTTGATATTTGCAACCGTGTTAACTATCAGCACCTGTGCCTGCTGGAGAGCAGGGCTCAGCGAACATATGGTCGAGCCACAGTTCATTCCTGGGACCCACTCGTTGGACTCCAAGCTGACATTGTCAAGGCCATCCTCGAAGGACACACCAGGATGGCCATCCATGTCAATCTGGCACGGCGGCATTTCGAAAGCAACGCCCGATGCTTCCGTGTCGCACGCAGATTCAGCAAGGTCTTGCCCAAGTTCCATGACGACCTCATCGTCGCTATGCACCAGCTCCCACTGCAGGCCGCAAGGGCTGCCGTGCTCTGACTCTCCACCCATGTCGCAGAAACACGTTCCCCTCAACACAGTCGCACTACCTATAGGCCTATATGGTTCAGCTTGGTTTGATTTTAATCTCACTGCATCAGTCCACAGCCACTTTGTCATGACACCTCTTGCCTGTCAGTCATGTAGAATGAAAAAGCAGCAATCATTCGACACCACTGCGGATGAGAGCCCACAACGACATGGTCAACGGACATGAGACTCGAAGTACAGCAGAAGCAAACGTCCCTCTGGGGCATGCAGCAAGAGTTTTGGGGTTACCTCCGGACCGTCCCGCCTGCCATATTGATGATGATGCCACGGCCGTTTGCACCTGGCGTGCTGTTGCTGACCCTGTGCTCTTGTCACTTACACTTCGGCATTTCCCGCAGAAGCAAACGTCCCTCTGGGGCATGCAGCAAGAGTTTTGGGGTTACCTCCGGACCGTCCCGCCTGCCATATTGATGATGATGCCACGGCCGTTTGCACCTGGCGTGCTGTTGCTGACCCTGTGCTCTTGTCACTTACACTTCGGCATTTCCCGCAGAAGCAAACGTCCCTCTGGGGCATGCAGCAAGAGTTTTGGGGTTACCTCCGGACCGTCCCGCCTGCCATATTGATGATGATGCCACGGCCGTTTGCACCTGGCGTGCTGTTGCTGACCCTGTGCTCTTGTCACTTACACTTCGGCATTTACCGCAGAAGCAAACGTCCCTCTGGGGCATGCAGCAAGAGTTTTGGGGTTACCTCCGGACCGTCCCGCCTGCCATATTGATGATGATGCCACGACCGTTTGCACCTGGCGTGCTGTTGCTGACCCTTTGCTCTTGTCAATTACTTACACTTCGGCATTGCCCTAATCTTGACGAAGCTGGCCTTTCGGAAACGGCAATCCTACCCTACACAGTAAAACCGTAACCCTGCACCGTGAACCTAGTCGGTACATGAGTCGGATAGAGACTGCATTCTCACATCAACAAGGTAAGCGGCTGTAGCGGTTTAACCCTATGACCTAGATACGAAGATATTCGGAGCCACGGACACCTTTCGACCCAACAACTGACAATTCAGGTCTCAAGCCCCAGACTCAAAGAGATTTCCAGATTGTGTTTAGATGCTCGGATGGTCCTGCGCTGGGCTGTACTGGACGCCTGTACTGAAAAGGAAAGGCGGAGGCTGTTGACTGCCGATGCTTCATAGCATAGACTGAGAAGAACAGCATGGTCAAACTGAACGCACGAATATCTCAGCCATGCCTAGAACCTCCACCTGAAAATGACTCGGGACAGCTCAGCTCCACTGGCTGTTTGGGAGAAACCGTTAAAAGCAGAGGCGGAGGCCGTTGACAGTGACTGCCAGTGCTTTATAGCTTAGACTGAGAAGAACAGCATAATCAAACTCAACTCACGAATATTCCGGCCTTGCCTAACATCTCAGCCTGAATCTCAGTCAGGACAGCTCCAGTGGCTGCTTAGGAGAAACCGAGACCTGCTTCGCAAGCAAAATGGCCAGTCCGCAGGGGCAAAGCTTGGCTTCGCCATTCTCTTTGAAGACCCAGACAACTTTGCATTGGCTCATGCTCATGGCCTTCTTCCTCAATTGAGAGGGGAAATCACAATCACACGCGTCTTCCCAGTCAAATTGCACTAAATATGAAAGTGCAAAGATAGACCACCAAAACCCTGAAGCTGTCTCTCTCTCTGTGCCTTTGTCCTCTCTCACCCTCTTGCTTTGCATCTCTTCCAAAACTAACCCCAACTTGAACTCAGCTAGGGTACACCACCAACTTGGCGTTCTCCTCAGTGGGCTCAAAGAACATGTCCTTGGAGCCCAGCGACACGGGCGGCACGCCAGGTGGGAAGGTCCCAGCATTGACCACCTCTTTGGCTTTCTTACGGGTGATCAGGGCTGACAATGTCTCCACTTTGTCAAGGTCTGCGACATAGTCGATATGCTTCTCCTTGCCGTCGGAGTCCTTCTTCGTCACCTTCAACGCAAAGATCACGGAGCACTTGTCTGCTTTGGGGAACATGTACAACATGTTCCCCGAGGTGTTGCCATCCTTGTTTTTTTTGATGTTGCCGTTGCCCACAAAGAGCAAGACACTGTTGGGCGACACTTTCTTGTTGCCCTTCGCGTCATCCTTCGCCGTGAGAATGAGCTTGATATCGTTGTTGTCTCCATGGATCATCCCGAAGTTGAAGATTTCCAAAGACTTCAAAATCGTCATGTAATTGCCGCCCTGCCCCTGCGCTTGCCCCGACCCTTGCTGCCCGTCCTTTGTATCCACAGGCTGGTCCGTGGTCGCAGCGTCCTTCTGCTTGTCATCATCCCCACTCTGACACTGCTGTTGCTGCTTGAACAACTGATCCAGTCGCCCTTTGAAGCGTTTGGCTTCGGCTTCATCTTCTGCCCCATCCTGGCCGACACTGAAATCATAGTCCATCCCGTAGTTCAAGCATAGAAGTGTGCGAGATGAGATTCCAGTGTGGTTCCTGGTGCGCACACGAACAGCCACAAGTGTCGAAGACAAGCCATTACCACACATCGGCACGAGCTCCACATTCGCGCCTGCATTTCCCCGGAAATTGATTTGTCAAAACCCTCTCGGAAGAATCGGTCTGGGAGGGATGATGCACTGAAACGCTACACTGGAAATCTACGAATCCTGCAGAAGCTCACTCACGCTCAAAGCACGGCCTCGTTTGGACAGGCCCAAGTAATGCTGCAAGTAGGAAGCCGCACCTACAAGCGCTCCATACAAAGTTGCAGTCTCGTCGGCCGTGATCGGCATATTGTCCACGCGAATCAGGCCTCGGAATTAAACCCTGACTTCATTTACGTTGTCGCCAAAAGTCATCCTGTGAACATCTCAATGTGTGCAGGTCTGCATCCAAGACGCGGTCCAGGAGGACACTGTGGCCGGGTTGAGCCAAAAACTTTTTCAAGAGGTTCAGATCATCGAACCACAGGGCAGAGGCATGGCAAATGATGTCGCCATCTCGATAGCTTCTCGTGGTCTCGAGGCCTTTGCCGAACTTCGTGTCGACGAGCGCCAAGTCGCATTGGCCAAGCTCCTTGTGCAGCAGCTCGACACAGCGATCCTGGAGGTTCTCAGGCCAGGAGTTAAGCCCAGAAGGCCACGCAGCACCGTCCAGGCTGACCTCCTTGACAATGGTCATCTCGCCGTCGGGGACAGTGGCTCCGATGAAGGAAAGGCCACCCCGAGAAGCAGCACGCTTCACCCCCTGCTGCTTCCTGGCCTCCACAAGAAACCGCTGCGTCACCATCTGCCTCAACAATTCAGTCGCATGTCGCTGAGAGTGCTTCGAGGCAGCCTCCACCAAGCTGAAGACTTCAAGCCCGCATAGACGCCCCTCACAATGCGGAATGCGTCCGTGCCAAAACCCTAAACCCTACACCCCCTAAGGGACTTAACTAGGGTAGTCCTAGTACTAGTAACTATAGTCGTTATCGCAGTATAGTAGTGGAGGATGTTGACAGAGAATGGGTGATTTGAGGACTCACCCATGCAACTCAAGAAACACACTGGCTCATAAGTCGAGATGCCGCAGCCGGAAGGCCTGGATGTGCTGACCGACTGATACACACCAGGTACTTGGCACTGGAAGCATGCGCCACCTGATCCAGAATGATTTTCCAATGTTGAATCGGCTTGGCGAAGGGCCACAGAGCAACTGTGTAATCTTTCTTTTTCTTGGCACTGCCGCCCTCCTCAACAACATCTTCCATCATCACAACTTCGTCTTCATCTTCCTGGATGTCCATGTCGGCATCGCAGTCTTCGTCCATGTCTTCGGGGGAGATCTCCTCGTGCAAGTCGGCTTCGTCCTTGTTTGCGGGGGCGTCGCGATGGCTGCATGTACGGCTCTTGCAGACCAGGCGAAGGCCCTCCCACGTGGAGGCCTTGACACTGTTCGCTTTGACCAGGACCGGCACATTCTCCTTGGAAGCCGGGCCCGGGATGTACACGATGTAGTTGGGCACCCGCTTGAGCGTCTGCCTGTGGTACGATGCAGGCCGGGCGGTTTGGCGACCATTGAGTTCATAGTTGCTCGCGGGTTGGCTGACTGGGGGCGCTTCGGGCCATGAGCAACAGTCATAGTAAAACTTTATATATAGGTTGGCCTTCAATTTGAACACTCTCACAAAGTCTCAATGGTCTCTACCAAGGCCAAGTGACTAACGGAAATACAACATATCCCAATAGGCAGCCTAGAAATTACAGCTAAGGCACGACTCACCTGCAGTCACTGCCAGTGTGAACACTTTCCGCTTCGGGAAGAGAAGCTCAGCTTTCTGCGCGACCATGCTCAAAAGATCCAAGCGCTTTCCAACCGGCACTATAACATTCACGGTCTCGGGGTGCATGTGGTTCTTGATCGCATCGGACATGAAATTGAGCTCATCCAGGACGTGCTTGACCTTGCTTGTCGGGCTGTCGACGACAGCAATGGTCTTGCTGCCAGCAAAGACATGAAGCTTCAACTCCTCGACCCAATCTCTGCGCTCGAAGTGCACGGTGCACTTGACGAGATCGGCGGTCGCCTCGCGTTCGGCCTGCTCGAGCTGCGGATCAATCTTCGCGGGCGCATCCTGCATCTCGACGTTGACAGAGGTGTCAACATCCTCACCAATCTCAGCGGCCTCTCCGGCCGCAGCAGGCTCCCCTGACACTGGCGGCGAGCTCGAGGTTGACTCTGACACTGTTGCACCTGCTTTCGCCATCTCCTTCAGCTGCTCGGCCATGCGCTTGAGCTCTTCCATGCTGTTGATGGGGACCTAGGCCCAAAAGAGTCTTTGTTTGCCATTACATCGTCATCACACAAGCATGCTGGAATCCTGGAATAAGCTCAGAGTCACACTTTCTCACCCAAGCACTTCAGCACGGCCTTGCGTCCTTTGTCGGACTGGAGCCAGGCGGTGACGCGCCTTGGCACCATAGTTATGAGCTTATAATAGAAGCATCAAATGAAAAGTGTCACCGTGAGGTG